ACGTTTACCAGACAGTGATATCAAAGGCAAGCTTGTGTGGTTTTAGCTGGTCAGTCTCCAGCAGTTATTCCAACGCACGCTCTGGGGTTCCCGAGCCTTGGCTCTTGCCGACCTGCGCCTAATACTTTCCGGAATTAGGTAAGTAGGAAGTGTCCCTCCAGGGAGAGAGAGTGCACCCTACCCATTAGGGCTTTGGCTTGCGGGGTTAACAGGAGCTGAGTGGGATGTCTCTTCGCTGGGTGACTAGTCTGCCGTTCCAGGTACTTCCGATGACCCAGCCTTGGTGTGTTGACATCGGCAGTGCCCTGGAACACTGTAGACCTGTCTGGTTGTCTACGTCAGTGCCAAACTCCTGCCTGTTGCAATCTATCGCAACACGGATCATCAAAGTGAGTTTGGCGGCTCTCGGTGGGGGGGGGGGGTGCGTTGGAGACACTTTTGTAAGAAGATGTCCCGTTTAACATCTCCACTGATCGTGTTGCGGGTTCTCGTGTATCGGTCTCACCGCTCCCTCTAGTGGTCAAACGGAAAAAAAGCCGCAATACTTTTCCTTTTTACGAAAAAAAGACCTTTGTAGGTGATTTAACAGTTTCATTATTCAAAATGCAAAACTTCAAGACCTGCAGACGTTGTGGGGGGTAGGGCCGGGGGTGGGGGGTGGGGTGAGGGAGGGTCAAATAAGTTCAAATCCTTGTGTGCGGTGAGTTAGCTCCTCTCGCTCGTTTTCAAATCCCTCTGTGTCCCCCATCGCACCTCCCAATCGATCCGATCTGCTTATCGCTCACTCCACCACCCGCTCGCTGCCCCCTGCTCGGCCGGCTCTGGCCTCCTGTTTGTCCCTCCCTCGTCCCTGTTGTTGGTGTCTTAGTCGAGGCAGCAGTTGAGATAAAACATTAGCCTGAATGACCCAGGACGATGGGGCGGGAGGGTGAACCCACTGAAAAGTGAGACGCAGGGATCCAAACTCCTATTTTAGCGGCTGATCTCATCCTTTTGTGCACTCGTGATGCTTTCTCCTTTCTCTTTCCTACCCTTTTGTTTTCTTCTTCCGAGCCATGGCAGACCCACGGCGTTCTTCTTCGACACTCAACTGTCCTTTAAACCCCACATCCCTGCTCTGACCCATTCAGCCTTCTCCCACCTCCGCAATATTGCTCGCTCCAGCCATTGCCTCTCCCCCTCATGCTTTTATCACATCCAGGCTAGACTATGCTTACTCCCTGCTCACCGGACTTCCCTCCACAAACTGCAATCCATCCAGAAAGTCACCATATCAATGCACATTATTATTGCTTATTATGCTGAAGGCGGATGCCAGCCAGATAGCTGATGAGGAAATTCTGAGGCTTGGGGAGACAGCTGCTGGAAGGTGTTATCGGGAGTCCAAGATTGTGAACACACGTTCGTACGTCCAGTGCCTGGAATCCCCTCGATTGGCCTGAGGAAAGGCCAGCAGCTGCTGCTTAGACTCCGCACTTCCAGTTGGTGGAACCATCGCTCAATGTGCCCGAGCTGCGGATAAGAAAGACGGTGGCAATTCTCTCACGTATTTCATGCTGAGGTGTGCCGCTCGCCGGGAAGCTCACAGGGAGTTCCTGGTATCTACCATCCACCTATTGAGGGCTAAAATTCACGCTTGTTGGATGTTGAACAACCAACTAGTGACTATCCTCCTTGGGTGGGGGTGGGGGAGGAAAGTAGAGTCTCCTTGGATCTGAACTGGCTCCAGGTGACATGCCTGGCAATGGATTGTCGGAATCAATCCAACTCTCTGTGGCGGTCTCGGTAGTCTGGTTTTTGAGCCAAGCGGATCCACAGTATAATAATAATAATAATCCTTGCATTTGATATAGCGCTTTTCACGTCGGGAGGATGTCCCAAAGCGCTTCACAGAATATACTGTAAAGTGAATTGACTGTATATTTGTGGGCAAACGCGGCAGCCAATTGCACACAGCAATGTCCCACAAACAGTCGTAGATTGAAAATGACCAATTTATTATTGTTTTTGGTTTTGGAGGGATTATTATTAGGCTCTGTGTGGAGTAAGGAAACTTGCCCAAGGTTTCGCCCTCTGCCTGGAATTGAACTCAGGTCTCTCACTTGCAAAGCGAGTGCTCTAACCACTGAGCTACAGGACTCCACACACCTCTGTTTACCAAGCAGTAAGTAGGAACCCGGTTGTTAGTTGATGATGTAGTGATAATTCCCCAGACCAAATATTAAATAAAGTGGTCACTCAATCCACGACTGTTTGTGGGACACTGTGGTGCACAAATGGCTGCCGTGCTTTGCCCACAAAATACAGTCAATCCACTTTACTGGATATTCTCTGAAGCGCTTTGAGATGTCTCAATTATGTGATAAAGCGCTGTATCAAATGCAAGGATTATTATTATTTTTATTATTATTAAGAGATAGCAGAAGAATCTTGAGCCTTGGAAGAGACCCAAACTTCTGGGTTTTGAAAATCTAACTGGTGCCTTCATCTCCCCTCTCGACTCTCTACCCCCTCTTCGCTCCCTCCCTTCCCTCCCCTCACCCTGACCATTTCCCCCCAATGCTCGTGTCCTGACCCAATTGTCCAGCGCCTTGGGATGTCCTCCTGAAGTGAAAGGCGCTCCAAAAATGCAATCTTGTTGTTGTGGTGGTGGTGGTGTCTGTCCTGAAATCGCCCTTTGCAACCCTAAACCTGGGTCCTCTCGTTCTACCATTTTGGTATATCCTGAATTGCTTACTTGTTCAATCGAATTTTTTTACGGTTAAGTTGGAAGTTGGTCAAACAAAGTTTGTTTATTCTCACTTTGAGGTGGTGGGTGAGTCCTACATTGTCAGAAAGCGCGATTCATTTTAGCAAACTGGTTAGATCCAACGTACCGTTAACAATTTAGTAGTGGAAGTGTATTCCTCTGCATAGGGTGAATCGAGTGGGTAACTAAACAATGAAACTAGTCACTGTCAGTGGGGGTGGCGGACAACAATGTTAGCTATCGGATTTTTCCACAGGATCCACACAGGAGCTGTTCATTACTTCAGCCAGTCAACCAATATCGTCCTCGTTGTAACTTAGCTCTTTGCTTCAAAGCAAAATATATTTTCATTTGCTTTATTTGCTTTTGGTGATTCTAGTTTGACTCCTCTGACATCCTTTCCCACATAGACTTTATTAATGTCAACAAGCCCACCTTAACGTGAGCCCTTTGCCCTTCCTTTATATATTTTTCATTAAAACTGGTAGGATTCTTACATATATATTATGGATTTAGTGTATCTTGTGTATTTAGTCTGGCAAGCGCTCCGGGACGCATGAAGGGCATTATATAAATGCGAGTTGTTGCTGTTGTTAGTCTGGCAAATTGTTTACTCTCACTGTTTCTCTTCTGCTCCACATTCTTTACCTCATGTGCAAGTGGGAGTCCGTAAGATGTCGTCCATAGATGGTTCTTGGGTGTGCAAAGTCCAGGAACAAGAGGCGAGTTGGATTTGTGGTGGGGTGAAAGCGCTTGGGTTGGTGAAGGGGTGGGGGCCGATTGCCCAGGGAAAACACGGATCTGCGGCCTCACTCCCTCACACAAACACATGATGAGGAAAGGAGGACTCTGATCTACATAGACTATTGCACAACACCTTGGAAGTGGAGTCGGCTGCACATTAACTTGCAAAACAACTTGCATTTATATAGTGCCCCTCACACAGCGTAGGGTCGCAGAGCACTTGCCCCTTACATGAAGAACTGTATTTTGCCCACAAAATATACAGTCAATTCACTTTACGGTATATTCTGTGAAGCGCTTTGAGACGTCGCAAAGACGTGATAAGGCGCTATATCAAATGCAAGGATTATTATTATTATTATTGGATTAATCAGTTGGTGTTAAGTAAACCTGGTCCTGTGACATTGGACCTGAACATCAAGCTGTCCTGTAAAGATCCTCCATTGCACCGAAGAACAGATTACAACAACAACTTGCATTTATATAGCGTCCCTCAGGCGGGGTAGCGTCCCAGAGCGCTTGACAGTGGTGGAGTCTGACACCGAGCCGGGGGGGAGGAAGAGGCGGGGGAGGTGACGAAAAAGTACGATCGAAAAAGGAAGGTCTTTAGGTGGGATTTGAAGGTGGGGATGGAGGGGGCAAGACTGAGGAATTGAGGGAGTTCCAGAGCTTTGGGGCACAGCGGCAGAAGGCACGGTGTCTGGCAAATAGCTGATGAGGAAACTCTGAGGTCCAGACAACAGCTGCTGGAAGGTGTTACTTAGCGTCCGGGTTTGCGAACGACGTTTTCATACATCCAGGACTTGAGGCAAGTTTCCTTAACCCACACGCCTCTGCTGACCCTAGCGGTGAGTCGAAACCCTGTTAAAAAAAAGTGGTCACTTCAGTCCACGACTGTTTGCGGGACGCTGCTGCGCGCAGTTGGCTGCCGCGCTTCGTCCCACAAAACACACGGTCGCTACACTTTACAGTATATTCCGCGAAGCGCTTTGAGACGTCTCAATGACGTGATCAGATCAGGCTGGTGAGGATGATGATGATTATTATTAATGCTTTGATTGGTTTGCCAAAGGGGGCACAGAAGCAGCAGCTGCTGCTGAAGTGCCAACACTTTGTTTGATTGATTGCATTGATTGCATTGATTGAATTGATTGATTGATTGATTGATTGATTGATTGATGCATTGCATTGCATTGCATTGGTTGGTTGGTTGATTGATTGCATTGATTGAATTGGTTGAATTGATTGATTGCTTTGATTGACTGATTGATTGATTGCATTGATTGACTGATTGCATTGATTGATTGCATTGATTGAATTGATTGAATTGATGGATTGCATTGACTTGGCTGTGACCTCCGCAGCTCTGCCGTACAACAAGATGGCCGCGCCCTCTGGGGACGGGGGGAGTGGTCTCAGCGCGTCGAGAGGCGAGGCTTCCGGTGACGCGCATTGACCTTTGGCCTCGCGCTCCCCCCCCCCCACGCCCCGCCTCCTTCCCTCTCCCTTTCCGGTGACGTCGGCGAGCAGGTATGGCGCCGGTGGGAGAGCGCAGTCGGTGTCTGTGTGAAAAAAAACACAACCCCTTCCTCCCAATCCGCCTCCATCCGCGCCCCACACCGACCGCTGGGCCCGCGCTGCCCCCGGGGGCGGCTCGACCGGGTCCCGATGGCTGACGGGGCGGGTGTATTGCGCGGTGTCTCCGGTCGGGATCGAGGGCAGAGCGGCGCCAGTCCCCGGGCCCCCCCCACAGGGCCTGTGTGAGGGCCTCACTGCCCCCCCCCACAGGGCCTGTGTGAGGGCCTCACTGCCCCCCCCCCCCCCACAGGGCCTGTGTGAGGGCCTCACTGCCCCCCCCCCCCCCCCCCACAGGGCCTGTGTGAGGGCCTCACTGCCCCCCCCCCCCCCCCCCCCCACAGGCCTGTGTGAGGGCCTCACTGCCCCCCCCCCCACACAGCGCTGTGTGAGGGCCTCACTGCCCCCCCCCACAGGGCCTGTGTGAGGGCCTCACTGCCCCCCCCCCCCCCCCCCCCCACAGGGCCTGTGTGAGGGCCTCACTGCCCCCCCCCCCCCCCCCAGGACCTGTGTGAGGGCCTCACTGACCCCCCCACAGGGCCTGTGTGAGGGCCTCACTGCCCCCCCCCCCCCCCCCCCGCCTCTCGTTGCTTGTTTTGTATATATGGGGGTTGGGGGAGGCAGTGAGGGGGTGATCCCGGAGATCTGTATTTCCCCCCCACCGGGCAAACCTCCCCCCTCCCCCCCCCCCTCTCTCCTCCCCACCCCCCCAGTCACACAGTGGGTACAGTCCCAAGTTCCTCGTCTTCGCCTTCAAAGCCCCTCCGTGGCCTTTGCTCCTTCCTTACCCCACAGACCTGCTAACCCCGTATATCAACCCCCCCCTCCCGCTCGGCCCCGGCTCGGTCCTCCCAACCGTCGGCAGGTCAGGCCTTCAGTCTCCCTGTCCCCGCTCTTTGGGACATTTCCATCCCACGTTCCCTTCGCCTCGCTCCCCCTCCCCCCCCGCCGCCACCTCCTTCGAGGCCCGTCTCAAGATCCTCCCCTCCGAGCATGCCTTCGGCCGCCCTCCTACCCCTACACCCCCCACGCTCCCTGATTCCAACCCCCAGCTCGAGTCCAAGTCCCCGACTGTCCAGGGCCTTGGGGCGTCCTCTTGGCGTGAAAGGCGCTGTACAAATGTCATTTTGTATTGCACTGTGAAGTGTAGTGACTGCATTTTAGGGGAACCCGCTCGCCAGTTTACACACAGCAGCGACCGGCAAACAGCCAATGGAGTGAGTGACCAATTTATCTGAGCCAGGAATACTAGGAGGAACTCCTGTCTCTTCGATTTGTGCCGTAGGATCTTTTCACATCCAGCTTGACGGGTAGATGGGACCTCGGTGTAACGCGTCCTTGCCATGGATGGTACCTCAGATAATGCAGCACTGCAGTTGAGCGTAGATCTGGAATATGAGCTCACAACGTAGTCAGACAACAGCATAATATAACCATAGAAGTGATCACAATTATGTGGAGAACAGGAATGCCTGAACGGGATATAGAGTAACACAACTCCCCAGATTTTTTTTTGACGAAACAGTTTTCTTTTCTGTACTATAACTTGTCATGCTGTTGTAGCTCTTTCAGCGGGTAACTATTAGCTGAACTATTCTTAACTCTTCTTCTGTTCTATAAATTCTCTAAGTTGCATTAGAGACGATTTTACTATGGTGTTCTCTAGGCAATTGTGTGGTGGGTTAACTCAGGATAAAATTTGTGTGATACAAAACCGCATTGGTTTTATACATTGAATATGTCTTGTTTCATTTCAGACATAAAAGATGGTTCAGCGCCTGACGTACCGTCGTAGGTTGTCCTACAACACAGCCTCCAACAAGAAAAGACTGTAAGCCTTGCAAATGTTTCTTTTTTTAAAAGCAGTTTGTGTTTTTTTTTTGGACAGCGCAGTAACCCTTTTATCCCTTTATTGTAAAGGTCCCGTACCCCTGGTAATCGCATTGTGTTTCTGTACACCAAGAAGGTTGGCAAGGCCCCAAAGTCTGCATGTGGTATTTGTCCTGGAAGACTCCGGGGTGTAAGTACCGACATTTTCCTGCCCTACATTTCCAAAGATGTTGACTCCTTGATGTGCTGTGGTTCGTCTGATAGCTCTCAGTCCCACTCTGTTATTTCGCCTCCTTGATAGTATTTGTATTTGAGTGTTATTGGTGAATATTGGCAATCTGATTGTCCATGTTGGGCATCATATCCAATTCTATCCCGGCCATTTGTCTAATCTGTACTGTGGCTGCTATTTGAAGTGGAATATCACTTTTGTTCATTCTGCCTGATAAATTTAAAAATGGTGAGAAACATGAGGTTAAATACAGTATAAGGTGTGTTAGAAGATGACAGGAACACTACAGTGAAAGCATTATTGATGCCAAAGCATAGGACTAACCTCAGAGAGTTTGATCCATGTGTTTCTGCTGCACTGCCAGCAGGAGGAAGCGAGGTCATAGCATCTATCACTAAAGTGAAGACTTTATTGTCTACAACTATATGCTCCTGGTTTTGGAACACATTCTAAAACAAAAAATAACCAAGACTTTTGCAAATTTTTTTTAGAAATAAGCTTAAGATTTTAATGGAGGTGTGCATAAAAAATGATTTTATTGTTACAATCCTGGAAATTGATTGAAAAAGCTACCAATTCACGGTGTCATGAAGCGTGAAGCTTGTTGGCAATGTTCGGCTATTGGGTGAGGTAGAAAATGTTGTTTTGTTCCTTATTTTATTAATAGTTGTGCTTTCGATATAATAGGCATATTGGTACATATGGTATTAGAAGCATTCCAGAGATTTAAATGTTAAATGGAGTCCTGTAGCTCAGTGGTTAGAGCACTCGCTTTGCAAGTGAGAGACCTGAGTTCAATTCCAGGCAGGGCGAAACCTTGGGCAAGTTTCCTTACTCCACACAGAGCCTAATAATAATCCCTCCAAAAACCAAAAATCAATAATAAATTGGTCATTTTCAATCCACGACTGTTTGTGGGACATTGCTGTGCGCAATTGGCTGCCGCGTTCGCCCACAAATATACAGTCAATTCACTTTACAGTATATTCTGTGAAGCGCTTTGGGACGTCCTCCCGACGTGAAAAAGCGCTATATCAAATGCAAGGATTATTATTATTATTATTATTATTATTATTATTATTATTAAATAACGGATGTTTGTACAGCCACTTGCTTTAGAGAAATCATCCTATTTTTTTCTTCTCAAAGCCTCTATTGGCTGGTTTAGGTTTAAGTCACTGGCAGCTTAGTACTGTAGTAGTACTATAACATCCGGTGGAACTTTTTTTTACAGTGGCACTGGTGCCATTTTGTATTTTACATTAAGTTTTTATCCGCAAAGAGTAAGCCCATCTCATATTAGTGCAGATAATTGTAAGTTAGCTGCCGGTCTTCATCCACAAAAAATACACCTTTGCATCATTTTGCAGTATATCCTGTGAAGTACTTTGAGATGTCTCGACAGCATGATAAGGAGCTATATCAACTGTTAGGATAATTATTATAATTGGCTCTATACTCTATTCCCAATTTTCTGCTGTTTCCCCATATCTTTTTATACTGTTCTGCTTCAAACATTTTTCCTATTCTCTTACATGTTATGGTCTCAGCCTCAATAGCCACTTTGGGAACATTTCTGATAGATGTTTTTCAAAATAATTTTGGTGTGTGTTTTTGCCCGGTGCTGAGGTTTCAATTTAGTCTGATTTCTAAATCACATTTATAACCTAGTTTTTAGCAAAAACAAGGAGATGTAATGAAAATTAGAGTTAAACTGATTAAAATTAAAATCAGAAAACGTGTCTTCCAAAGGGTTATGAGAATGTGGAATGCACTGTCCTCCTCAGTGCAGTTTTGATTGGAATATTTAAAAGGGAGGTGGGTATACGTTTGGCAATAAAATGGGATAAATAAGATACGGCACAGGCTGGGGGAGGGGGAGAGTGTTTGAATGGCCTCCTATTCATTACTTAAAAGCTTCTTTATAATGCTCCCAAGATATTGTATGTTTAAATCATTAAACTGGCTTGGATGATCCAAGATGATCACAATTGATCACAAGAGTTGTCTATGTAAAGAGAATTTCTGGTAGTATTTAGAAGCCTGCATTACAATTGCCTTTTTTAATTAAAAAAAACATTTTTACAGCTCTTTATGAAAATGCCACTTTGATATCCTAACTGTAGTCAAATTAAATTAAAATTCACCTCCCTGAATATGTAAATGCATGTACTGGGACTGGTGCCATGTTTTTCAAGCTGTAGACTTAAAAACAGTTAACTTAATAATTGAATCTTTCAATTTTACATAGATCCGTGCAGTTAGACCGAAGGTCCTGATGAGGCTGTCAAAGACCAAGAAACACGTCAGCAGGGCTTATGGTGGATCCATGTGTGCCAAATGTGTGCGCGACAGGTAATCTAAATCATCAGCTTGGTGGGATTCACCTTCTATTGCTTTTATTTGTTTCCAAGTTGCAGACTAACTACAATATTTGTCATTCTTAGGAAAGTTAGTTGCTCAAGCTCCGCGTCCCTCTGGGTACACTAATTAACCATTTTAGTTATGTGCTGAAAGCATTAAGATACTTTCGCTTTGGCTGTCTTGATATTGAACGATGCCCACCTGAGAATTTGAATTGCACAGTGCTTAGTGTAGCTGTTACCTAACCCAGAACAAATGACATTGGATATTCTTTCACCAGCCAATTTCTTCCCTTCCCTCTCCTAAAGACAGATTCATTCTGAGTTATGGTTTGGCAGTTGTTGGTTGCCCTTCAGTAACTTGCCCAAGTGGCCATTCCTCATGCATGAACCTAGAGTATAGTGATATCATTCTTTTTTTTCGGTCGGCTAGATGTTTGACATGTGCAAATGGAGTATACACTCTTGCCCTTGGAGAAAGATTCCTGCTTACGGTATTCCGGAGAGTATCGGGTTCAGGTTGGCAAGAACCAAGGCTTGGGTACCCCAGAATGTATCTTGGGGTATTGCTGGAATCTAACCAGGCTAAAACCCACATAGCTTACCATTGAAAGTTCTGTGACAAGCTTTCGCTCTACGTGCCAAGCTGGGACCACCGATCCTAGAGCTTTGGTTTGCAGGGTTAATGGGAGCTGAGTGGGAAGAGACCCTGCTACCTGCCCCTCCCAAATCCTGCTGATGAGCCAGGATGGCTGTGCTGTCATCTGCAGTGGCCCGGAGGACTGCGGACCCATTTGGCTCAGGAACTGGACGAGGGACTGTCCAGGAGCGTGAGCTCAATTCTAACCTCAGTCACCTCAGTCGAGTCAGTTCAGTTCCAAAGGGGACCCTACGTGTGGGAGCCAACATGTGTGTGCCACAAGTGTACTGCACTCCCAATATTGCTTCAGATGTATACCAAATATGTGTGTTCTAGTGGGATCCAGCTGTGCGTGTGTTATAACATATGTATTTAATATGCAATTTATGCTTTCCAGAATTAAACGTGCATTCCTCATTGAGGAACAGAAGATTGTTGTGAAGGTTCTGAAGGCACAAGCACAAAGCCAGAAGTCAAAGTGAATTGTCTAAATTTATTTGTACTCTTGGAAATAAAGAACTCACTATATTTTGCTTGAGTTGGTATAAATATTTCTACAAAATATGTAAGGTTGTACAATACATTTGCTGACTTGAATTTAGTGCACATACGTAATTTGCCACGTTTATACTGTCGAGTTTGATTCGGTTCCATTACTGCTAAGCGGTAGGAACTTGTCAGTTTGTGTGCCACAAAAGTTATCCTTGCATTTTATACAGTGCCGTATCATTTCAAAGTAAGAGTTTTTTTCTGAAGTGTTGTGACTGCGTTTGTCGGTGAACGGGGCAAGCAATTTGCACGCAGCGATGCCCCACAAATAGCCGTGAAGTGAATGACCCAAGTATTTATCTGCCGTGAGTTGTTGGCTGGGACATTTGGAGGAGTTCCCCTCTTGGAATAGTATCATGGTTCGATAATGATCCTTGCATTTCGTACAGCACCTTAGATCATCGAACCTTAAGTCCTTCACAAGATTGACTAGTGTCTGTGCATTTGTAGATTAAGCTGGCAGCAGGCTTTTGCAGCACTGTTTTGCAAATAGCTGTGAAGTGAATTACTAATTTTAACTGGAAGATTGTTAGTCAACAGGTCCGAAAAAATAAGGACTATTCTGTGTAGTTAAGAATCTATGCCACACGCTATAAATCCACTCTGCGATTTCAAATGTCCAGCAGCCCCCACGATGCCCACAGCTTGCCCCTGGTTGGTTTAGCTGTGGGCATCAACAGCTGTCACGCGTGAGTACTGAACAATTTTTTAAAATTTATCTGAATTCATTTTTAACGTCAAGAAAATAAAGAGTAAATCTCGAACCACTTTGGAATTCAGTACCCTACAGTACTGAAGCACTGCCGGATATCAGCTCAAGTTGGATTGAAAATAATATGAAGTATAAAAATGTTGAAGTGGACTGTCGAATTCCTGTTCCATGTTTTGGAGCTGGGGCTATGCCGAAGTCATATGTGGTAAATACAGTTGCGTGGGGGGGTTTATTTGGAAAAGAGAGTTGATTGTTGTAGAAACCACTATCATAATTTCTTGCCTTAAATTAATGCGGTCTCTTTTGGGGACTTTTTAAAAAAAGATATTTTAAAAATGCATTATTTTGACCTGTGCATTTCTCAACAACACATTTGAGTGGTATTTACAGTGACAGCAACAAAGCGGCTTATGGTGTTGAAAACGTATATGCCCGAAGTACCTTCATTTTTTAAACAAATTCTTTACCTGGTTAGTTAGTAAATGTTCCGAGTCTTTGTTGTAATGCACCGAATCATCCTTAGACTTTCTTTGGGTGTCCACTTTGGTGGTTTCAGTTTATGCATTGAAACCAGCATAGGCATAATAAAGCAAACCAAATATCAGTCGTTACTTTCTTTAATATCCCATTGTATTTAATATCCTTCTCCTCTCTCCCCCGACCCCCAGCTCGGATCTGAAATGCTGTACACCGTCCAGCACCTTGGGACATCATCCCGATATGAAAGGCGCTATACAAATGTAATCTTGTATCTTTCTTAATTTGGGAATTTTTTAAAATCTTACCTCGACATCTCATTTCTCCGGACAGAAAGGAACATTAATCAGAAGTCTCAAAAGGACAGCAGTTTGCATGAGCCGTTGAGTCAATGTATGAGCCGTTGAGTCAATGGTCCACACGTGGAGGCGAACACAATATGGTGTATGAAGGTCCCAGATTTGCTGGTATGTGCTGAGACTGCAAGAGATCCCAAATTTGCCTCTGTCCTCGGGTTAGCGGAAAATTCAACTGGATCACTCCTGGAGAATACATATTTTCATATTGCTCCCCCACCACCCCATCCTTTACTAGTTCGCTAATTCACTGGATTGTGGCAGCGAGAACTGAAAAGCAAATGAATTATTTTTGGTGTATAGGAGGAATTACTTATTTTGAGATCAGATAACGAAACACTGAGATGGTGCACGTGAATTACCGTATTGTAACTTTCCCTAGTTTGAAACTATTTCTCCATTGCTCACTGACTGGGCTGTTTACTCTGGGCCTGCGTTGTAAGTTTCTAAAGTGGTAGGTTGCGTTTCCCTAATCTCAGTCCGCAGAAAGAAGCTTGTACGTTCGCTGCGTAAGTCGTCTTAACCTCAATAGCAACTACAAATAGCTACTTGCGATTTAGATGCGTACAAAGCATTACACCGCAAGGCAAGCCAAGGCTGGCAATTTGTTACCCGAGTCTAGCCTGAATATTAAATGTTCTCCATATTCTGCCATAGAATCATGGAAAAAGAATCTTAAAACAATAAGTATGTGTTGATCTTCCTAATTTTTTTTAAATCAATATCCCTTTCCAAAAATATTTCAGCAGCAGCACATTCTTTAACCAAGCCTCCAGCTGATGCCTTGATGTATTAAGATAAATTGACCAGACATCAGACTACTCACATCACATTTAGAATCTTATTAATGTCTCCAATTTTTAAAAATTCACTGTCTTGGACTCCACTTGAGTGGAGTCCTGTAGCTCAGTGGTTAGAGCACTCACTTTGCAAGCGAGAGACCTGAGTTCAATTCCAGGCAGAGGGCGAAATCTTGGGCAAGTTTCCTTACTCCACACAGAACCTAATAATCCCTCCAAAACAATAATAAATTGGTCATTTTCAATCTATGACTGTGGGACATTGCTGTGCGCAATTGGCTGCCGCGTTCGCCCACAAAAATAGTCAATTCACTTAGTGTGTTCTGTGAAGCGCTTTGGGACGTCCTCCCGACGTGAAAAGCGCTATATCAAATGCAAGGATTATTATTATTAAAGAAAAATAATTGTGTGGAATGTTCTAGTTGTCTTGGACTTAAATGTTGAGTAAGAGACCCAGCTCATTGGTCTGTCTAGGGCTGAGTCCCAGGTTCAAATCCCAAACGAGCTGAGTTTAAAACTATCGTTAGAGAATTATCTCCTGATTGGAGATTATAGGCAGGAGCAATATAAAGGATTCACTTAGTTTTTTTTTATTAAAATCTGATGCCTATTGGGGATAAGGCATGGCATGTAAATAGGACCGACAGGATTACTCTTAGAAAAAGCCAGCAAACACAATGGGACAAATAAATTTCCCGGCCTATCATTGGAGGTTACTGGATCCGGGACTTTTCCCACTGGAACGAAGAATGTTGAGGTCTTAGAGGTCTTTAAAATGATGAGGGGTTTTGATAGTCAATAAGAAGGCATTTCTAGTCGGTCACTAACTGTAGGGCATCAATTTAAAATTAGTGTCGCGCAAATTGGGAGAGTTCTCCTTGGGAGAGTTTTCCCCAAAGAGTAGATAGGAAATGAAGTGCCCTATCAGGAGCAGTGGTTGAGGCAGAATCCATATTGGGCTTCAATAGAAAACATGACAAATGTATTGGGTCAGTTTCGGGGGAAAGGGTAGGTAAATGAGACGGAAAGATTGCTCTCGAGGGAGGTGACATAGAAACGATGAGCCAAATTGTGACGTAAATTTCTGTGGTCCTGGGTTCAGATATGTAATCTTGAGGATCTCGGATCCCAATGAAGACACTGTTAAGAACATCAGTCATCAGGGTTTCAGATTGTCTCACTGAACACTCACTTTTACATCCAACGGTGATTTGACAGACAGCATAATTTAAGGAAAAAGTGAACTGGCGAGGTTCAGTTTTAGTACACATGTAGTTAGCCAACAAAATGCTTTGATCAGTCACCAATAAATTCTCACAAAACAATCCTACAACTGTTATCCAGTCAAAATGTATTCAAGCGAACCCAAAATAAAACAAACAAATCCTCAAATGTCAAACAAGAGTGACACAAATCAGCATTTCACTGGCCCATCCAGTAATCCAAGTTTTCATGAGCTGTTGAAACATTTAGCAGGTGATCACATTGTGGAGTTTTAACAAAATCAAATAGGAGCCAGGTCAGTTTTAAAACCCAACAGAAAACCATAATAAAAAAGTAAACTTTAATCACAAATTAAAAATACTAAAGGAATTTCAATCACATTTGCCTTCATACGGTCAATTTGTTTTTATACAACTTGTATTCAATTGACAATGTTGGAAGAAGTCAGGAGAAGTAATACGAAGTAATAAGACACTACACAGCAGTTGTTCAACTAGCGAATAAGTTCCATGGAGCAAGCTTAAAGCTCACCATTAATGCTAGTTACAGATGTTTGTGTGGTGGTGATCTTGCCTACATTTTAAAGTTACATCAGCCCACTAGCGTTTTAATACATGCAAGCACTCTTCCTTCAGGCTGCACAAGCAATTCATACTGGACTACTTCTCTTCACACCACTGATTTTCCTTGCGTACCTGAGGAAAGGATTCAAAAAATTGTAATCAACATAAAGTGGAATTACTTTCATCATCCCTAGACCTGATTTCTTAATTTCTTAAACATTGTCCTCACCAGGTCCCCAGTTCCCTCTTCAAACAAGCTCCAGCTCATGTAGAAGTGATACCAATTCCCATCCTCACCAAGCTTCATTGGTTCTTTGTTCATCAGGAGATCTTTGTCTCAAGATCTTTGTCCTGATTTCAAATCCTTTCTTACTTTCATCCCAGTTCTGAAATCACCAACCCCACCATCTCCACTAATTCAGGCCTACTGCACACTCTGTTCCATCATCAGCAAATCAAGCACTATGGAATATGTCTGTCCTGCTATCCCTATAAGCACTTGGAGACGTTAATATTGATATAAGTTGTCCTAAATCAAAGCTATTGCTCTACAAGTGCTTGTTTTCAAGTGAATATTGATGAGCCATACTTCAAATCTATGTCTGTATAAGACTTTTGCAAATTTTGGACACTTACAACTGCTTTCTATCTGGACTGAAACTCTGCCAAATCATTTGCGTACAGACAATGCACATTTGGTGAGTGAGAGGGGGGAGGGGGGGGGGAGGAAGACAAAACAAAAATGAATACTAATATCTACTCTTGATTTTTACCCATTGCAATAATAGATGCCGAGATTGCAAATTAAAAATGCACATTTCAAGAAGCAAATCTGCACTTTGAAATAAATTTTCCAAATGAACAGCTGACCATTCAAAAAATAATCATCCAGTACCTGTGCTTCCTCTTCCTCAGTGAAGTCATTTTTTATGTTGAAAGTTTTGCGAATTTCTTCAGGAGTCTTTCCTTTAATCATATTCGCCACGGTTTTGCAAGTTACATCTAACAAACCCTTTATATCCAAGTAGTTTGCTGCCTATTTAAAAAGGAGGAAATCATTGAAAGTGAATTAATAATAATAATCTTGGCATTTGATATGGCGCCTTATCGTGTCTTTGAGACATTTCAAAGCGCTTCACAGGATATAATGTGAAGTGAATTGACTGTAGATTTTATATGCAAAATTAAATAGCGTGAACGATTAACTAAAATATAAAAACTTTTTTGGTTCTCCAATAAAATGTGTACAACTTGAAAACAAGCTCAAATATTATCCAGTTCAAGTTCCACACAACAGTAAGAACATACGTCTTTCCCTCAGCACCTCTGATTCCAATCTATATTGTGGTGATAAACTACAATAGCATACTAAACCGTGGTAGACACAACGTTAGAATTCCAGCGTTGCATCACCTAGGACTTTTTAAGGCACAGTTTGTTTTGAGGTCTAAATTACCACAACATTCAGATACATGTGGTTAATTCACTTTTTGAATGGGGGGGGGGGTGGGGTAGGGGGGAGAGAGAGAAAAAGGAGAAGAAACAATAATTTATCTTGTTTTATAGCTATACCCAGGAAGCTCTTAGCACAGATAAATGGTCCAACTTGCAAACTCTACTGACAAGCAGGTAGTCCAATGAGAGTGTAGGATAGGTTGATGTACAGGTGAATGGTTCAATATGAGCGCATATTCACTGAAGTTATTAAAAGTTGGGTAACTATAAAAGGTTGAGGTTTCCACAATAAAAATCAAGGCCTGCAATTTTCTTACAGGCTTATGAATGCATTAAAGTCTCAACAGAGGGAATTAGTAAACTATTTGACATTGACAGACATTCTGTTCTCACCTAACACCACCAACGAGCATGCAATTGTCTTGCAATGATTTCTAGATCGAAGCCAGGAGCAGGAACTCTATTCAGATAGGGCACCAGGACCAATTATAACAATTATACAGGATGGCCAAAAAGTTTTATTTTTCAACTACCCTATTATCCAAAAAATACATATGATCATTTCTTTAAGACCGTAATATTAGACATTGTAATGGCATCATTACTTTTCGGTCACCATGTAGATGATATCAACAAACAGCAAAAATGTAATTTGTTGGTAAAAGTCTTCAATGATGACGCCATAATTTAACCGTCAATCAAAAATTGTCAGGGCCAGCTTTCAAAATGATAAATGTCAATAACTCAAATTAGCCAAAAAACAAAAGATCTACTGAAGGTCATGCAACCTTAAGAATGCAAAGGATTGAAATGAATACTAACCAGAATTAGTTCAAAGAGAGTACCCTGGTCCACCTTGAGAAACTCTTGATCCCACACAGGTATATCATCGGTTCTCTTCTCTTTGTTTTCATCATCTTCTGGTGGAGGAGGATCATCTCTGTGATGTGTGCACCACTGGATCACCTAAAGCAAAAAAAAAGTTAAGATTAATTCATAGTCAATTTCGTACTGCGGCTGAACGATATTACTCTACTATATTACCAAGAAGCTACCAGATCACCTGTCAAATAATTGCTTTGGTGGAGCACAAGAAATTCCAATTTGACAGGCCTGCTTTAGCTTTGCAAACGTACCTTTTTTAGGATTGCAGCATTTACATTTGGTAATGGTACCGGATCATCATCGCCTTCATCATCCATTCCTAGATCTGATTTGAAGAGCATGAAAGGACATCATTAGAATTGATATTACATACAGCGCAGATTTACCAGCATCATTCAGATTTTAAAAAAAAGAACCATTTAATTCAAAGTCCTTGTTCCTGCTAAGGTAGTAATCTTTCGCAATTGAAGAAGAGTTCATAGATCACAAATCAGTCACTAAATGTATCAATTTCTGTTGTCCTGCCTGGGATTGAACCCAGGTCTCTCGCCTGAATGTAGGCAGGGGTGAACTGACTGCCACTTCAGCAGAACCATTTTCCCTGAACAATATTTGGTACTGATAAATGATTCAGCGGCAAAAGGGCTTTACTTGGAGGCCTCGCTATTGTGATTGTCTGTGTGTGCGTGAGTGTGTCTGCGTGTCGCTCTCTCTATGCGTTTGTGAGTATCCGTGTCTGTCTCTCTCTCTATGCTTTTGTGTGTGTCTCTGTTTGCAAATGTGTCTCTCGGTTTGTGAGTGTGTGTGTGTCTCTCTCTGTCTGTCTCTGTAGGCGATGATGGATCCTGAGAGCTTCTGTAGCCTTGCTGGTGGCGTACCCCCTCCCCCAAAAAATAGGCCACCCAGTTTTTTGTTAAAGAAGCAATTCATCTTTTTTTCCCCCACAGTCTAATATGGTTTATTTCCTCATATTTAGATTTTATCGATAATAAAGTGAACAAAATAATAGTTTGACAGTAAAATGTACCTCAATAGCCCCAGTCAAACCCCCACATGTTCTGAGACATTTGTCAAAAATCTCCCTGCATCTCACCACAAAAATTGCAAATCTCCCCACAATTTTGGGGAGATATTTCGCACTTTTCTATTGGTTATTACTCCCCACCCCCTCACCCAACAAGTAAAACAAACCCTCAGAAAGACACGTGCATGTATTAAAAGATTGTTCATGATGTTCTTATTTATAAACTGATTCTCATGTTACATTTGAATATTGAAAGAGTTTCTTACTCCAAAACAGCAGTCGAGGCATATTTAGCTTATTCATTATGCAATCATATTATTCCATTGAATACACGCCAGGTCTATCAATAGTATCCATGATGGCAATGCACCCTGATAATCCCTTGCCGCATTTAGCATTGCATCAGCAAAATAAATGCTTTTCCCTGGTCATTGTAAAATGTAAAGAGCAATACTTTTTTTAAAATTCTAATTTTCTAATTAGAAAATAAAGAGGATTTGTAAGCACTTTGTCCAATAAAACACAGTCACTATGCCTTCCAGTAAATCCTGTGAAGCATTTTGAGATGCCCATTTGACTTCAATGGCGCCATATCAAATGCAAGGCTTATTAGAGTAAAGGAAAACATATGCATGATATACTGCAAAATATATACATACACATGTATTTATCAACATAGGAAAACAGCAACAATAAATCGTTCAAAATCTCTCCATCTCCTATGAAATCGTCAACTTGCAAAATATCCTATACAGGAAGCATACAGGTCACATAAAGAGTGAATAAAACAATCTGAATTCATATAGGTCTCTTCACACAAGGTAACATCTCAGAGTAGTTGAAAGATTAATTTCTCTCAACAACATACATGGTAAGTAACTTAAATTATTGACATTTTATACACTATCCATTTTACTAAAGGACAACTAATTAGGCTTAAAAGTCTAAAATAATAAGACTATTTAATATCAGGAGGGAAAAATAATAGAATTGAGGATATCGGTCTAAAAATCACGCGTCATCCCAGATTCCTCTCATTAACTAACCTTCCAACATAGTCTTGATTGTGATGGATTGCTTTGCTATTTCTACATCCACTTCAAAGATTTCTCCATCTGAACTCTGCAGTTTAATGACTGGCATCTTCTAAAATTTTGTAAAAAAAAATTAAATGTGAGTAGACTAAAACATTCATACTACAACTTATTTGGAATATACACCCTCACAAGAATTCAATTGTCTAAAGTATCTTATTTTGTTTACAAATTGGCTCTGGTGCAACAGTAGAAATGTGAACATAACCTCATTGGAAGTCATGCCACTTAGCTTATGCATGGATAGGGGCATGGATAGGGAAAAATATAAAATTTATTGGGAGAAAAACATTTGACCATGATCCAGCTCAGCTCAACTGCATCTCCTCCCAACAAATCGTTGTTGAGCATGTAGGGAAGGGGCGTGGTGCATTAAGGGCAATTTTGAAGATTGCGAAGAGTTTTTATGCATTCTGAAATGACAGAAATCACAAAATGAAGCTTCGGCAATCTTTTAAATGAACTTTCCTAGGTCACCAGAAACCCTCGTGGGAGTTCCAGCGGCTCAAGGAATCAACAGCAAAAAAAACGATAAAGCAACAAAAATCAATATCCAGCTCTGCAACTCCCCCACCACCTTCAACACTTGCCTACTGCAGCACTTAGAAATAAATCACAAAGAGCATTTTCCTACCGGCAGCCCTCGTCCCTAAGGGCAATTTTGTCACCCAGGATTCCCCTGGCAGTGAAAGGCAGGAAAGATATATTGGCCCAGGAGGGGGCACAGGGCAATTACCAGAATGATACCAGGGCTTCAAGGGTTAAATCATGAGGACACATTGCATAAACTTGGTCTCTATTCCCTTGAGTTCAGAAGGTTCAGAGGTGTTTTTAAAATAATAAAGGGATTTGATAGGTTAGGTTCAGACAAACTATTTCCAGGCCATTTAGAAGTGAAATCAGGAGGCAGTTGTACCACCCAAAGGCTCAGTGGTACATCTGGACCTCCCTGTCCCCCCCAAAGGGCTGTGGACGCTGGATCCAGTCACATCAAGGCTGAGGCGGACAGATATTTGTGAGGTCGGGGTGTCGAGGGGATACGGGGGCAAAAGGGCAGCCATCTGGGAGTTGAGGTACAGATCAGCCATGACCTTACAGGATGGCAGAACTGGCTCGATGGGGTGAAAGGTCAACTCCTGGTCCCATGTTCCCCACCACCTTTTCCTTTGGGCAAGTGCGCACGCGCGGGAAGGAGGGGGGGGGGGAGAGGGGGAGAGGAGGAGAGCAAGCGGGGCGACGACCAGGCCGGCGCGCACGCATTGATTGTGACGCGGCGCGCACCCATTGTGACGCCGACGCCTCTCACCCTGTGGTGGCGCCGCCGCCGCCGCCTTCTGTTCCCCTTCTTGCTTCGCGCTCGTGCCGACCGACCGACCGCGAGACCCTCGCGCCGCCGCCGCCGCCTCCTGTTTGTGACCAGCCACCCAACCGCCGCAGTGACGTCATAAGCGGGCGCTGCGCAAACACTGACACCTCCCCCCACTCCCTCCCGTCGCTAAAAAAAACCTTTCTGCGAATCACCCACCGCCTGAAAAACATGTCATCACATCATATGCACACATACACCCCCTCTCCCCATACACACACACACAGCAAAACAAAACAAACACCGACCCCTACCCCCTCCCGCACTCACACCCGGCCTGGCCTCCGCAAGCCGCACGCTTGCGTTTTCTTAAAAAATAAAGCAAACAACAGCTTCGCTTCACACAATAAAACCGACACGACTGCCTCCTCCCTCCCACACCCCGAGAAGGATATCACCCGACAGCGTCTGGGTGGGTGTGGGTGGAGGCCATTTCTTTTTAGGCAAAGCTGCGAAAACACCGATTTAACAGGCGGCAATGGTCCGGCGGACGCCGTGTGGCCCGTGTGTGTGTGTGTGGGGGGTGGAGGGGGGGGGGGGGGAACTTTCCTCACCAAATCCAAATCAACCCTCGTCACGCACCTCCACACAACACACACGCAAACGCGGTGTAAGTGGAGTAAAGAGGTACCTTCACAACGAGATAGATGGCGGCTGAAAGCAGCTTCCGAAAATTGTCTGTCTGCCTGACAGCCGCGGGTCAAACCGGTCGAGTCAGTTGGGGCCGCGCGGAGTGACAGACGCGGACAGCGGCGTTGGCGGGGCGGGCGGGCGGGCGGCAAGGAGACGTTGCCTGTCACGTGACTGAACGCTGGGCGTGCGCAATGGCCGAAGCCGCACCCGCCGACTCTCCAGCTCGCACGTCACTTAACTGAAAGGGGGCGGGTGGAGAGCGCGAATGCGGGGTGGTCGCTCGCACGCACGCGCGCACGCGGCACGCACGCTCTGACGCACGCACGCGGCAGCTGTTGCTCAGGGCGACACAAGGGGCCGCGGCCACGCACGCGCTGCCAACCCCCCCCCCCCCCCCCAAAAAAAAATTCAAACCTCCGCGTGCCGGGTGGGGCGGTTGGTGACGTACCCGTTGCCCATGGTGACGGGGGAGAGGGGGCATGCGCACCAGGCCTCGCGTTAGCTCAGGGAAGGGGAGGCGGACATCTCCCTCGAGCCACATGAGCAGCTTCCATAAGGACTATGGACGGGGACTGGCCGCAGGTTGGCCAGAGCCAAGGCTTGCGGACCCGGCTGGCTCCGAGGAGCCCGACTGGAGGCCATCGCCGGGCTCCGAGACGCCGTCCGGGCGCGAAGGACGTTAGATAAAACACAAGTTGGTGTTGTGCTATCAGGGGGATATTGAGAAGCTGGAGAGATTTTACACTGTGATTGCTCAAAATTGTTATGCTCTCGTTTCCGTAGATTTTCTATTGACCTACAGCAAAAATCAACTCTTTGCTGTGATGGTTGGTTGTATATTGGAAAGCTGCAGTGCAGGAGGAGGACGTTGGACCTATTAAGCCTCCACCGGCTAACGTTGATTAACTAACTAACGTTAGTTTTTTTTTTAGTTGTTTATTATAATTCATCTCTTTTGCATCCACTTGGTGTATGATTGCTAAATGTAGCTGTGAGGGAGGTACTACGTACTAAAATGATAATCCCTCCAAAACCCAAAGCAATAATAAATTGGTCTTTTTTTCAATCCACGACTGTTTGTGGGACATTGCTGTGCGCAATTGGCCGCCGCGTTCGCCCACAAATATACAGTCAATTCACTTTACAGTGTGTTCTGTGAAGCGCTTTGGGACGTCCTCCCGACGTGAAAAGCGCTATATCAAATGCAAGGATTATTATTATTATTGCATACAATGCAGAAGAAACAATTTAACGTTGGCCAAAGCTACCTTTGCCTTTGGTACTTGTCTCAGTATTCATTCCTAAAATCTATTAGAAAAGGATCGAGGGAGCTAGGGAAATGTTTTAACGTTTTGCAAGGAGTTTTCCCAACAATAGTTGCCGAACAACAAACACCTCTGGAGGCGTGGTTCGGAGATGTTAGTAAGTGAAGCCGGGTGTGTCCTTTCAGGAACAAAATTGCACATCCCATCCCATCCCATGCACAGGGAATTTTTCATGCCTCGGTGGCCATGGTGGATTCCATTCCTGCTGCTGCGAGGAGGTTGGCCTATATTTGCATGTCATTGAGGCACTGCTGATGACAGGACGAACGCGTGCATGAGTGTTTCGGCTGCGTTTGGGGTACGGTATGGTCAGTAGCCGAGGTGAAGGAAAGCACTGCTTTCCGAGTTAAAACATACTGATGAAGGATTATAGCAAAAAGCCATGGCGCGAGTGACCAATTTTATTTCGGGGATTGGTAGCAAGGTACCAGAAGAAACTCAATTCGTTTTTCAATTTGTGCCATTGGACCTTTAAAGTCAACCGAGACAGGCAGACAGGGTTTCACATCTTATCCAAAGGATGGCACCTCCAACGATGTAGCACACCCTCAGCACTGCATTGGAGTGTCAACCTAGACTATGAATTCCAAGTCCTGATGTGGGACTTACATCCACAACCTTCTGACTCGAGGCGAGAGTCCTACCAACTGAGCCAGGCTGACATAGCCAGTTTTTCTTAGTATCCTGGCCCATAACTGTCCTATTAAAGTTGACTTCATAAATGATTGCGAGACAGTGCTGTGTGCATATTGACTGTTGAGCTGCCCACCAAATTCACAAATTCAAACATTTGCACTTTACAGTATATACCATGAAGCGCTTTGAGGTGTCCTCCCTGCCTTAAAAGGTGCTGTATCAATTATAAGGATTATTATTAATAATAAAAAAACCTTGATGTCAGTATATTTCTTGACCTTCAAATCTGCCTTGAAGAATTGCTTTTTGAAGCATGTTTAAGCAAAGCGCCGAGGAGATCCTGCTTATTGTCCTCCACAGTCCTGACCCAAACCGGCCCTGGGATATTTTTAGGCATCATACTGATTGATGTGGAAAGAGTGAATTCAAACAAAGAATCTTCCAGCCTCAATTCAACTTGACCAAGCTTTCTTTGTTGTTCTAGGATAGAAACTAGAGAATAGGAACTCGTGGAATCAATAGAAGTTATTATGGCCTTTTGTGCGTTCACTTAAACACTTGGAAATAACTGCCACTTGTTGGTTGTGATTTCAGCCAGGTGTCTTGACACATGCAGAAATCAATCGAGTTAATAATAATAATCCTTGCATTTGATATAGCGCTTTTCACGTCTTCTAGACGTCCCAAAGCGCTTCACAGAATATACTGTAAAGTGAATTGACTGTATATTTGTGGGCAAACGCGGCAGCCAATTGCGCACAGCAATGTCCCACAAACAGTCATGGATTGAAAATGACCAATTTATTATTGTTTTGTTTTTTTGGAGGGACTATTATTAGGCTCTGTGTGGAGTAAGGAAACTTGCCCGAGGTTTCGCCCTCTGCCTGGAATTGAACTCCGGTCTCTCACTTGCAAAGCGAGTGCTCCTGACGTGAAAGGCGCTTTATAAATGGAATCTTGTTGTTGTTGTTGTTGCTCCAACCACTGAGCCTACAGGACTCCATGTATCCCACCTACACATGGAAATTCTCAAGATATTTATTGCAATGTGCACTTTCTCCCTGGAAGGATTGAACCTGCTAATCTAATTCCAGAGAGTACGAGGCGAAGGCTGTCAAGAGCCAAGGCTTGGGGACCTCATTATTACAGGGACCCCAGTGTGTGCATTGGGGTAATGCTGGAGTTCAATTAGCTTGCCACTGAAAGCACAGTTTTGAGATGTTCTTCCAACAAGTTAAGGCGCTATACCAAATGCAAAGATTATTATTACAAGCTTTCCCGCTGCTTGTCCAGCTAGTTCCACTTTTTTTTGTTAGGGCTTTGGCTTACAGAGTTAACAGGAGTTGAGTGGGAGGATTCCCTGCCACCAGTCACTACTCTACCCTTCCAAGTCCTGCCGGTGAGCCAAGCTGGCAGATCTGTCAATAGCAGTGCCCTGGAGTATTGCAGAACCGCCTGGCTCAGGAACCGGACTGCTGTGACCACAGAAGGTTGTCAAACATCTGAGAGCATAAGAATTAGGAGCAGGAGTAGGCCATTCGGCCCCTCCAGCCTGCCCCGTCATTCAATAAGATCATGGCTGATCTCACTCCACCTACCCGCCTTATCCCCATATCCCTAAATCCCTTAATCCACAAGAAATCTATCCATCTCAGTCTTGAATATGTTCAAGGACTGAGCATCTACAGCCCTTTGGGGTAGAGAATTCCATAAATTCACTACCCTCTGAGTAAAGAAGTTTTTCGTCAACTCAGTGCGAAAGGGCTTACCCTTAATTTTAAGACTGTGGCCCCTGGTTACAGTTTCCAACCAGGGGAAAAATTCTGACGTGCCCCTTAATAATCTTATAGGTTTCTATAAGATCACACCTCATTCTTCTATATTCTAGAGAATATAGGCCTAAATGTCTCAACCTATCCTCATAACTCATCCCCCTCATCCCTGGTACCAACCTAGTGAATCTACGCTGTACCCCCTCCAAGGCGAGTTGCACGTCCCCTATGTACCTTGCGGCCAAGGAGACCCTGCCTTACCTTACCCCACCCCAGGAATAGTCAGGAGTTGGCTCGTTTGTCATCCCACAAGCGCAGGTTTGAGGCCTCTCGCTCGGCAGGTACCAGGTACGCCCTGCGAGCTTCCTGCTAATGAAGCACAAAGTGTGTGAGTGTGAGAGCATTGCCAAAATCCAAGCCTTCCTTGCCCACAGCGTGGAGTCCTGTAGCTCAGTGGTTAGAGCACTCGCTTTGCAACCGAGAGACCTGAGTTCAATTCCGGGCAGAGGGCGAAACCTTGGGCAAGTTTCCTTACTCCACACACAGCCCTAATAATAATCCCTCCAAAACCAAAAACAATAATAAATTGGTCATTTTCAATCCACGACTGTTTGTGGGACACTGCTGTGCGCAATCGGCTGCCGCGTTCGCCCACAAACATACAGTCTTTACAGTGGGTTCCGTGAAGGCGCTTTGGGACGTCCTCCCGACGCGAAAAGCGCTACGTCAAACGCAAGGATTATTATGAGTATTATTATTAGCTCAGACACACATCCCTTCCCATTGAGCGATGGCTGCCCAGTTGGAGGAGGTGGAGCAGTCACGATGGGGATGGGGTGGAGCACTGCATTCTGCGTTGTATGTACCTGAGGCTACATAGCTCGACTGTCTCTGCCCCGTGTGGGGCTCGGGGGGGGAGAGGGAGGAGCTAACGGCAGGGCCCTGGGCGGACGGCCCAGTCAGTGTGAGTGCGTGAGAGACAGACAGACAGACAGACAGACATGTTGTGAGGGCGGTACAGTACAGCACAGCGGCGGCGGCGGAGTGTCAGTCAGTCTGTGCTGGAATGTGAGCCCTGAGCTCGCGCTCTCATCGAGGCCTGAGCGGGGCGGCGGCGGCGCGGCGGCCTCGGGCAGCTTCAGCGGGTGAGGAGAGCCGAGCCGAGGCGAGGCCGCCGCTCTGTGCCGGGGCTGTGGGCCGGGCCCGGGCTGGGCCGGGGACCCCGGGCTCTGACCTTGCGGCTGGGGACACGGGGCGTGGGGTGGGGTGGGGTGGGTTGGTGGGGTAGGGGCGGGGGGTGTGGGAGAGTCGTGCGGCTCGGCCCGGCCCGGCCCGCGAGCCTCGGCCGTGGGTCCCCCTCGGGCCCGAGCCACAAAATGGTTTTTCACTGCAAATTCCCCCACAGCGGGAAGTGAAGGAGTTCGAAGCGACAGAGAAGGGGGGAAGTCAACAACAAACAGTGACCAAACCACATCAGTCAGTGCCAGAGCCCTGCGCCCTCCCTCCCCCCCTCTCCCTCCCCCTCTCCCCCTCTCCAGGACCAAACCGTTTTAAAGAAGTTTTAAAAAAAAAGTTTTGGGTGTTCGCTTCGGGTGAGAACGGGTAACTTTCTCCCCCTCCTCTCCCCCCTCCTCTCCCCCTCTCTTCCCCCTCTTCTGCGCTCTCAACGCAGATCCTGCAGCAAAGGGCAGCACTTCGGTATTTCAGTAAAATGGCTGCAAGCACATTTCTTCTTGGGAACTCCTGTAAATGTTTGGAACTTTTCACCAGGAATATCTTCCTCCCCACACACCCCACACCCTCTCCCCCCCCCCCCCCCCCCCCCCCCCCCCCCCCCCCCACACCCAAAAAGAAAAAAAAACCCCGCCCGAGGTGGCGAGGTTCAAGCCACCACCCCCTCCCTTCCCCCCCCCCGTCCCGTTTACGCGCAATTTATAATATGTCCCCGGGCGTTAATCCGCTTTCTCAAAGCAAAAAAATGTGATTGCGCCGTTGTCTTTTATTTTTCAGGTGAATTTCAAAGCGCTCCCTTCCTTCTTGTCAGTCTCGGTGCCATGCGGAAACGGCGGTGACGGCAGACACTGACTGACGCAAACGTTGAGCTGGAAGTTTGAGATCCAGAGCTTTCACAGACGCTGCGCTCGGCTTAACCGGGGTGTCAAATCCTGGTAAATATTGCTAACGCCGAGACGATTTCATTATTTTGTCGCGGATGGCGTCCATGAATATTTGCGGTTAAGTAAATTGTTTTTTTTTCATAGGCACCATCGTTCTCTTCAGATCGTTAAAGATGGCTGCACAAGTCCTGGAACAGTCCAGTGGAACCAGTATGTTTTCTGCCTCAAACATTGGAGTATCATCAAACGAGATTTGTGGCCTCAATTACCTCTCCAAGGGTGACCTGTCAGCAGCGCCACAGCTAGTTATGTTAGCAAACGTTGCTTTAACTGGTGACATTGGGTGCTACGATTGTCAGGAGGACCGTCTGATGGCTGAACTGAAAACTGTAGATGATACTTTATCAGACAACGGAGAAGAATTGGGAGCTGATCTGCCTGATGTTTTACAATCTGAGAGGCGAAACACGGAAAACCAAGCCATGCCAAGAAATGAAAATAAAGATGAATCTTTGACTGTTTCTCAGAACATTTGTGACTCAAATATTAATTCATCAGAAGTCGTGACACCAGAGTGCTCGGTTGATAAAGGAAAAAAGTCCAAACCGTTTCGTTGCCGGCCCTGTCAGTACGAAGCAGAGTCTGAAGAGCAGTTTGTGCATCACATCAAAGTACATAGTGCCAAAAAATTCATTGTGGAAGAAAATGCAGAAAAGAAAAACAAATCCAAAGTTGTAACTGTTGATTCTGAAGAGATTGACATTTCTAAAGGGCCTATTCGCTGCGATAGGTGTGGATATAACACCAACCGATACGATCATTATCTGGCACATCTAAAGCACCATGAAAAAGTTGGAGATAATGAGAGAGTTTATAAATGCACCATCTGCACATACACTACAGTCAGTGAATACCACTGGAAAAAACATCTGCGGAACCATTTTCCTCGGAAGGTTTACACATGTTCGCAGTGCTCCTATTTCTCTGATCGGAAAAACAATTACGTGCAACACATGAGAACACATACAGGTATGAGATTGTTTGGTTGATTCGGATGAAGGCAATTTGAAGCGCTCTGAGATGCCGTCCGGCGTGGAGGGCGCTATATAAATCCAAGTTGCATTAAGTGCGCATGCAGCGACAGGTCATGGATACATTTCCCATTAATCCTGGAGCCAGTGGATGCGGGAGTAATGGAGGGTAGGGGAGCAGTGTTACAAGTTAGGAAGTGATTAATAGGAGTAGTGCAAAGAAATCTGTAAGCGATTTTGATAGGAAACTGAATGGGACTCAGGTGAATGTACCAATAAGGTGATTATACAATTTATAAAGATAAGACTCATGCGAGGTTTACTGTATTGCAACCTATTTTTAAGTTTCAAATACTTGCGAGCGGATTGATAAGCAAGTGGTAAGACATGTATGTTAAAACTATCTAGGCACCTTGTATACTCTCCGAGCAGTGCACATCTGTAATCAGATTTCTTACAAATAAAGGGTCTGAGAAATTTAAGGGGATGAGTTGAGGCATTTTATCGAAAGATTGTTGGGTGCATGTGCGTGAGGGTGCCAGGGCAGCTTAATTTGTTTCACTTGGAGCATGGAACTTTGCGATGTGCACAACTGGATTTAAAATGGGATAGGCGCTCCATCGTGAAAACCACTGGGCAGGGCATCCTCTGAAAATAAATTATTTCCATTTGCTTTTTTTTATAAATGAATTTTATTCAGGAAAATTTGTATGAGCAATTTACTTTGAGCAAAACAAAATTATTTTTGGCCCCATGTGAAGTATTTTGGATTTCTAATCTGCCGTTTATAACTTTTAATGATCCTTACTCAGGTTACACAATTTGAACTCAATAGTACAGTAAACAGCCCAATCAATATCTCTACTAATTGATTGGCCTATTACAGATAGTAATAAAGTGGAAAATTCATTTGTTGGGCGTGTATCTCTTTTTCTTTCTTTGCCTCCAACATCTTGCATTATCTGCTGAATGGGTGCTGCTCTTAGCACTGCCACATCCTGGTGCATTTAAATTATGATCCTGGGACTCCTGTGCATGCATGCAATGTAAAAACTTTTTGTTTCCACAAAATGAACAGTCAATTCACTTGACAGTATATTCTGTGAAGCGCTTCCAGATGTTTCAAAGACATAAGGCGCTATATCAAATGCAAAGATTATTATTATTATTATTTATTATACAAATGTCCTGATTTTAGACTATGTTGTATGAAAGTCCACAGCAGAAGAAGGGCAAAAAAGTTACTCTTCAAGCAATTGTTCGAGGGGAGTTTTATTTAAAAAAAAGTTTCATAATAATCCTTGCATTTGATGTAGCGTCTTATCACGTCATTGAGATGTCTCAAAGCTCTTCACAAAATATACTGTAAAGTGAATTGACTCCATAATTTTAGAAAAATAAGAGCCAGTTAGTTGTACATGTCAATTGTAGGTAGGCTACTTGAGAATATTCGGAAAAGATGGAACTGATAACGGGAGGATCATGGCTGACTAATTTGAATTGATTCTTTGAAGAAGAAATATGGATAAGGGAGATGCAGCAGATTTGGATTTTAGGAATGTGGGCAATACGATACAACAGAAGAAGCTTTTGACCAAAATGAAGACTCGCAGAACCGATAAAAAGACAGCAAAGTGAATAGAGGAGTAGTTGAATGGCAGAGTGGGAATTGAGGGATATTTTTCCGGTTGAAAGAGAGTAGTTAGTGTTGGTTCCTCAGAGATTGGGGTTATGACCTCTCTGTATCCTCTGTGCACAGGGTAACTTCATATAATATGGCTCTCTAAGTCCAGTATTTTGGAGGCAGAACTGTAAAAAAAAAATTGCTGACCTACAGAAGATCATTGTTGTCACCAATTCCTGAGTGTCGCATGCAGCACATGAGATCAGTGACGCTCGCTGTGCGTAGTGCATATGTGTGCAACATGTAGGAAAATTATGTTAGTGACTTAGATACAGGCCATTTTTTTAGAAGCCAGGTTTTGGTTAACATGAGTCCACAGGACACCAGCACTGTAAGCAAAGCCATGAATATTATATGGGGGTGATGTACTAGGGTTGCCCCTATTAATGATCTGGATGGCAGGTCGAGAGACTTGTAATTTCCAGATTACAACAGGAGGTATTGTCAAACGATGAAGAATGCAGGAAGGACGCTATTGGAGATTAATTATTAAGAGATTAATGGATTGGGCAGATTTGTGGAAATTGGAGTTAAAATTTAAATATGTGAAATGTTGCATTTTGAGAGAAAGAATAGGGAAGCAGAATTATAGTGGAGGCACAGAGGGATCAGGGGAGGTAAGCGCGATTCTGGGCTTATTTTCACACAGATACATTGGATCCAAAAGTAAAGAAAATGATGAATCTGTATCAAAACATTGGTGAGGCCACAGCTGGAATATTGTGTGCATTTTGGACGCCACGTGTATAGAAATGATATTGGAGTTATTGAGAGGGTGGAATGTAGGATCACAAGTAAAATACTGGAACTGAAAGCATACAATTAGGAGAGGCGAGAGAGATTAGGATTCCTTTTGGTGGAACATAGATATTTTAGAGGCGTTACGATACTTGAAAATGTTTGAAAAAATGAATCACAAAAAAACTCTTTCCTGCAGCAGGGGATTTGAGAACAAGAGAGAATTAATTCAACATTGAGACTAGAGGAGTAAAATGAGAGGTTCGAACAAACACTCTCTCTTGAGCATTGACAGGGTAAGGAATGAATTGGCCGGAGAATTGATTAGGGGCATTTAATAGAGAATTGGGACAAGCACATGCAGAGAAGAGTATTGGAGGAAACTGGGAAAGTACAGGGCATTGGCACTTGGATGGATGGATGGATGGCTCGGAGGAACAAATACTGAGGAAAAAATGCGCTATTCAGAGTTTCCTCTGGTGTCCTGTTCGAAAATCCTCCAGATGAAATTATGATTAACGTCATAGCTGTTTGTGGGACATTGCTGTGCATAAATTGACTGCCGCTTTGCCTATAAAATCCTCAGTCCCCACATTCCATAGTAAAATCCTTTGAAGTGCTTTTTGACATATCTTAATATTGTGATTAAAATGCTATGTCAAATGCAAGGATTTCCCTGCTCCTTTTCACCAAATCCTTTGATAACCTTGCCTACCAATTCTTCTCCTCCAATATCTCACTTGACGCAATATTTTAATCTTCTGGATAACTTTCTCCTGTTGAATATTGACGAGACAAAGGCTCTCCCGCTTGGCTCCGGTCAGGACTTTCTCACCTCGGGCGCTGACAGCATCAAGCTGCATGGGCGTCACTTCACCTCGCACAGCCTCTGCGGAACCTCGGTATCTTGTTTAAATCTCACGGTCCTTAAAACTCACATCTGTGCCCCCGCCCCAGGGGATCCGTGCCCTGGCTATCTTACGGGCTACCGCCCCCACCTCCCTTGTCTTGCGAGCCACGACTCTCCCTCCCAGACCAACCCGCCAGCCCTGTGCCCCCCCCACCCCACTCTGGCCGCTTGTGGATCCAAATCTAGGTGTCAGGCTGGCTCAGTTGGTTGTACTCCTGTCTCCAGATCATTGATCCAAACTCCAATCCCGTTCCTGACGACTATTGCATTGCCAGAGGTGTCGTCTATCGGATGAGTTGTTAGTTCCATGTGCCTGCTTGTGTGGACGTTAAAGAATACCTGATACTGTTCAAAAAGAGAGGGGCGTTTCTGCTGATGTCCTCCAGTTAAATTCGTCATTCGCCTCCTGGTGACTGGTGCAATTCTATGTGAAAATTGGCTGCTGTGTTTGCCTACACATATCTCACTGGACTTTACAGAAAACTGTGAAGTACTTTGTGACGTTTTGATGTGATAGGTACTTTTTCAAATGCAATTCAATAACCGCTATTTGATAAGAATTTAGCACAGCTAACGGAAGAGAATGAGCAGAACTATAATAATAATAATCTTTGCATTTGGTATAGCACATCATGTCTTCGAGACGTCTCAAAGCGCTTCATAGAATATACTGAACAGTGAATTAACTGTATATTTTGTGGGCGAAATGCAGCAGCCAATTGTGTACAGCAGTGTCCCGCAGTCATGAGTTGAGTGACCAAATTATTATCATTATTTTTATTTTTCTGAAAGGATTATTAACCCCGGAAAAGCAATCCACCAATCAACTAACAACCAGGTTCCTACTTACTGCTAGGTGAACAGAGGCATATGGAGTAAGGAAATTTGGCCAACGTTTCACCCTGGGTGGGAATCGAACCCAGGTCCTCTCGCTTGCGAGACTTGTGCTCTAACCACTAAGCTACAGGACTCCACTTGAAGGATTGCTTGAAGAACTCATGGTGCCACTATTAGTCCAAACTTATAGTGGTACAACTGCCAAAATGTGCTTCAAAATATTCAGTTTGATGTAGAATAATTGAACTTTCCACCTTCTTAAATGTAATACTTTTCAATATTGTAATTGTACTTCACAGGTGAACGGCCTTACCAATGCCCTCAGTGCCCTTACTCAAGTTCACAGAAAACTCATCTGACAAGGCATATGCGCACACATTCAGGTTGGTATTATCAGTATTAAGGGAGGTGAAAGAGTCATGTTAATGTTATAGAAGTTGCTTTACAGTAGAACCTCACAATGCTTATTTTCCGATACAATAATATGCTTCAATAATGTTGCTAGTTGTGTTAAATTTCCATGAGAAAAGTTACTTTTTCAGTGATTTTGACTCATGTAATGCAACACTTGAAAGTAGACCTAGAATGGAAAATAATAATAATCCTTGCATTTGATATAGCGCCTTATTACATTTTCGAGACGTTTCAAAGCGCTTCACAGAATATTCTGTAAAGTGAATTGACTGTATATTTGTGGGCAAAGCGCAGCTGCCAATTACGCACAGCAGTGTCCCTGCTTTGTGCAGGGACGAATGAAATCCTTCCTGCCATAAATAGCGTAGGGCAATGTTATAAACACATCTGTTCTTTGGATGAGACGTTAAACCGATGTCCCGTTTTCCTGTTCAGCTGGACATTAAAGATCCCATGGCACTATTCAAAAAGAGAATGGGGTGTCTCCTGGTCTCCTGGCCAACAATCCCCCAAATAAAATTGTTCATTTATTTTATACCTGTTTATGGAAAATGTGGTGCACAAAATTGTCTGTCGCTTTCACCCACAAATGCACAGTCACTCAATTTGGGACGTTCTTTCCCCACGCGAAAGGCACTATTCCCAATGCAAGAATTCTTCTTATTAGTAGAAAATTATTATTTGCCCGAATAGAGCATTTTAAAGCCTTTTTTACAGACGTATTTTCAAAATTCCCCTTTTAGCCTCAGAGTGATTTGTGAAGCACAGATGGATGGGGATGCGGTGGCATGGACGATCCTCCCTCTGCCTCACCGTGATTGTGATTGAATTATATTGAATTAATATTGATATTTTCTGTCTTTCACTTGGCTGCATTGTTGGCATTTCAGATCATAATTTAAAGTTGATAATTTACAATGAGCCTACAGTTGAAGGTATAGCTTTTCAGCCAGACCCACTGGTCCCATCCCTCAGAAGTGAACATCTCTTTGCTCATTCACATCCCCACCCTGCTATCAACTCTCCAGGACACTCTTAAGTCTCTTCCACATCGCTCTCCAACATGTCCACTCTTTCTAATAAAAGCTGTCTCACCATCCACAACCTCATCCTAGATTAAAACATCGACATTCTCTGTGTCATTGAAACTGTCTTACGTTTGAATACACCTTCCCCCTCACTGAGCTCACCACCCAACACCTCATACTTTTTTCATTATCCACCTCAACTTACCTTCACTTTCCTCTCCGACCCCCCCCACCACCCACTGCCTGCTCTTGGCTGGCTCTAGCCTCCTGTTTGTCCCTCGTTCCCTCCACAGTAGTGAACCAGCACTGGGCCTTTATTTAATCATCTTTGAAAGAGCTATCAACTAGTACCACTCCCCCGTTCTTACTCCATAACCCTTTTTCTTTTGTAAGTGCCCATCCAGTACCCTTTTGAAAGTTATTATCAAATCTGCTTTCACCAGCCTTTCAGGCAGTGCATTCCAGACCATAACAACTATGGGTTAAAAAACAAAGTTTCCTTGTCTCCCCTCTGGTTCTTTTGCCAATTATCTTAAATCTGTGTCCTCTGTTTACCCACCCACCTGCCAGAGGGAACAGTTTCTTCTATCTATTCTATCAAAACCCCTCATAATTTTGGAAACCCCTATTATATCTCCCCTCAACCTTCTCTACTCTAAGAGGAATAATGCCAGTCTCTCAAGTCTCTCCACGTAATTGTAGTCCCTCATCTCTGGTATCATTCTTGCAAATCTCCTCTGCACCCTCTCCAAGGTCCTGACATCCTTCTTGAAGTGCAGTGCCCAGAATTTGACGCAATATTCCAGCTGAGGCCGAACCAGCGATCTGTAAAGGTTAAACATAACCTCCTTGCTCTTATACACCATGCCTCTATTTATAAAGCCAAGGATCCCATATGCTTTTTTTTAACAGCTTTGTCAACTTGTCCTGCCACCTTCAAAGATTTGTGTATGTGAACCCCCAGATCTCTCTGTTCCTGCACACCCTTTAAAATTGTACCATTTATATTGCCTCTCCTCATTCCTCCTCCCAAAATGCGTCAGTTCCCACTTCTCTACATTAAATTCCATCTGCCATGTGTCTGCCCACTTCACCAGCCTGTCTATGTCCTACAGCTCAGAGCAAAATATGTTCTGATTGGTACCGGACTGGTGAGTATGTCATCCGTTATGGTGTGAAGCTGTATCAAAGCACCAAGGTTCATCCAGCTGAAACCTTCATGAGTTACTTTCTCTTAGTTAATAATTGTCTGATTTGCACTAATATCTCTGATTTGGGTGACCTTTACATAAATATTTGAGTTAATGTTTCTGTGTAAGATTATTGGCCTCGTGCCCATTATGGTTAAATTTGTAGCAATGTCATAATGAAGAGAAAAGGTAGACCTTTTTTGTATTATGTGTATTTGATGTTTGTCTGACTCGAGTGCTTAAGGCTACTATTCATAAAATATTGATTTCCATTTTTCTACAATGCCTTCATTGGACCAGATGTCTTATGATTCCATACTGTTATGGCAAGTGTTTTCTGGTCAGTATCGGTAGGTATCAGTATTTAGTTTATAATAATGATTATCTGGCATGGTATGTTTTTTAAACTGTCAGATTTTCATATGCAACCAGATATCAGAATATCCAACATACAAAGATCAATTTAACAGCAAGTGTATTACACTAATGTAAAATTTGTTATATTTTAAGTATGGATGGCAGTTTGAATATGAGATAGTAATGCTAAAGAGTACAAAAACTTTTTTTGTAAAGAAAAAGGCACATGCACACAATTAATAAGTGATTCAAATATTCCAAGCGACCTGGTTGGTTTGAATCTGGTGGGTCCAACTGACATATGAATACCCTGAGGCGAGGAGGGGGAAGGGAGTGGAAGAATTATAGGAGCAGCTCCGATAATATGTCTCAGTCCAGAATGCCCAATGTGTAAGTGAACTAACCAATCCTGCAAAATCCCACATTCATTCATGCCTTTGAGCTGCATTAGATGATTGAATCGGGATACCTTCAGGGGAGCTGGAATAACTCACAACTCCCTGGGTTTGGAAGTGGGCAAAATCATCCAAGGTTTACTTGATTGTCATTGAGTGACTTCCTTTAGGAGGTCTGTGTGGGATGTCAGGCTGGAGTAAGATGTTCCTTCATGGTCGTATACCAGGTGCTGACACTTACTGTGAAAAGTGACCACTTTGGTGCCTGGAGGCAGTGGTGATTTAAAAAAAATACATGTGTTGGTCTTCCCCCTCCCCCCCACCCCCCCCACCACTGAATCTAAACTTAAGAGATACTTTAGAGCAGTAACATGCTAAAATATTTTGCAACCACTTAAAAATTAAGGACCAGTAGTAACTGGACAGCAAATAGCACGTGAAAAAATTGAGCTCCATCTATCGTTCTTTTCATTTAAAATAAATCCTTTTCGATGTATTTTTAACAGGGGTCTGGCAGACAAATTTTAATTGTGCAGACATACATTTAAAAAAAGTGTAATATTTTTATAAACTTTAACTTCAGTGACCCCATTGTATTGCTGTGAGAGACACTGACTGATATTTAATTTTCTTCCCTCCGTGCATCGTGATGTAATGATGATCAATCGATATATATTATGTGTATTGCCAGTGAAATAGTATGTGTGTTTCAGTGTGAGTTGGACAACATGTGTAGACAGCTTTTTATTCCTGTTACCAGCGGAGTCTTGTAAGTTTTATTCTCTTATGTAGTTTCACATTATTCTCCCATTTTATCTTGAAATTCTGTAATATCTTAGTATGGGCATAAAAATGGGGTCAATTTCTAGAACAGAAAACCTGTAGTAAAAGTAAAATCACACACCTGTGAGGTATTTCATGGGTCTCTGTTTGTTTCTATATTTGTGCGTATGTGTTTGTCTCTCTCTGCTTCTCTAACTGTATCTGTGTGTGTGTGTGTGTCTGTCTGACAAGCGCTCCGAGACACTGCCCCATGTGAAGGGCACTGTATAAATGCAAGTTGTTGTTGTCTGTCTCCTGTGTCCTCCACTTTTCTGCTGGGTGGGATCTGTTTTTCATGCTGTTGGTAAGTTCTCCATTTAAATTACAGTCCTGGACCTTGCATGCATGCATGTACACAACTTTTTAAAAAAAAACAATTTCCAACTTCAGAGCCTCATGTGGTGTAACCAGATTCCACACCAGCATATCGACTACAATGAAGGTTCTTATGGTACATACTTAAGCTGCAATGTATAGTAAACTAAAGCAAGGAAAATGCAGTAATACACTTGAATTTATTTTTTTAGAGAGTGAATTAGGAGCACTAGGCCATTTGTGTAACTGTCTGGTAGATCAATGGACATTTTATGTGGCATATTGTACAGTAATTAAGCATTTTCTATTCATATATTTTTAATAGGTGAGAAACCATTTAAATGTGATCAATGCAACTATGTTGCGTCAAACCAGCATGAAGTGACTCGGCATGCCAGACAAGTTCACAATGGACCCAAACCGTTAACTTGCCCTCACTGTGAATACAGAACAGCTGACCGAAGCAACTTCAAAAAGCATGTTGAGCTCCACGTCAATCCACGTCAATTTTTGTGTCCTGTCTGTAAATACGCAGCTTCCAAAAAATGCAACTTGCAGTATCATATAAAGTCCAAGCACCCTCATAGCAGTGATATTACCATGGATGTGTCCAAGGTTAAACTACGCACCAAACGACTTGAAAATGACATCCCTTGTGCCAAAGTGAGCAAGAAAATGTCAGAAAAGCAGCCACTGAAAGTAAGTGAAACTCTAGCTGACAAAATTACTACCAAGGTTGAAAAAAATACGCCCGCTTCAAAAGAGAAAAGCTTGAAGAGTTGGAGGATGAAAACCCGAAATTATGTTTTAAATGGCAAAGTTTTAAAAAGAAAAAGGGAAAATGACGTGGAAAAATTAGTAAAATTCAAAAGTGGCAAAAGAAGGAGATGCTCAACAGTGATGGCGTCGAGCTCACTGCTGGAACCAGCAAATGAGACTCGTACAAAAATAAAAAGGAAGAAAATTCAGAAAGCGAAAGAATTAGCTGACCCAGAAAAACAGCGGGGGAAAATTGAGTTGAAACCCTCAAACAATAAGTACCTTAAAACCAAACAAAAGAAGAAGAAAGACAAGAAAAACAAAAAAATTAAGGACACGATTGTACTTTCTGCTGGTTGTAGTTCGAATGAGGATACGAAATGTAACCACGCAGAGGAACAACCAACTGTGGATTTGCAGAGAAAGGAGGAGTGTTCCAGAAAATCTTCACGTCGTGTGCCTTCTGAGGATGTGGGCAGAAGTCAAAACCTGACTTCAGAAGCCTTCACAAATGCTGTGATCGGTGAAAGTCAGGTTGAAGCTGTTGAACAAAATGAAAATCCTCTGGTGTTGAGGTCTCCAGAAACATCCTTTGCGGTGCCAATAGTGCCAATCGGAATGGGCGAGACCCAGAGATCTTCCGACCAGGTAATGAGTTCTGAATCTGAGGAACAAACAACTCACAAGGTTGCAAACAAACTTGAGAAGTTGCCTTGTGTAGGAAAAACTGCTAAAACATGCATAGAACAACAAACTGAGGTACCGGATGGTAGCTTAGAGAAAGCAGAGTGTCCGATTTCACTGGCGATCTGTGAAGACCTAAAATATTCAGATGCAGTGGAGGTGGATGGCGAAATTGGCGTCGCATCTGTTGTTGAACAAGCAAGATCTTCTCAGGTGAGTGATACTGAACTGATTTCGGAGCCCTCTCGATCAAAAAGTCCAAATAACTTCCAGGATGATAAAGGCAAGGATGAAGATAACAAAAAACAGGAAAAGGACCAAGCCAAGAATGACAAGGACCAAGGCAAGGAAGACACAATGGAAATAGATGAAGATGAAGGCATTCACAGCCATGATGGTAGTGATATTAGTGATGATGTTTCAGAAGGAAGTGATGACTCTGGTTTGAATGGAGCAAAATCCACTGCAGGTGACAAGATCAGGAAAAGAACACTTGATGAAGGTGTGATTAATGCTCCAGAGAGTTTTGTCTGTATATTCTGTGATCGGGTATTCAGTGAGAAAGGAGACTATACCAAGCACCTTAATCGCCATTTAGTGAACGTATACTATCTTGAGGAAGCAGCAAAAAGCCAGGAGTGAGTAAAATCTCATCAAATGTAATGGTATCTGTTACAAGTGACACCAATCACACAAATGTGATGTGACATGGAGCTTCCATTGATTCTGCCTTTGTTTCTCAGAGCTATTTGTTGCTAACTGCTTGTATTCTTCACTGACTTCAGTTTCTTATTTCTATCGCGAGGTTGTTTATCACACGTGAGGCTTGGTAGCGGTTTAACCAACCACTGGTTTTGAATTTTCATTGCACTATTATTGAAGAGAATATTTGTCTACTACAGCAGTTCCATTTCTGTTTCATCTTAACTGTAAATATTTTGTTACACTGGAACACAGACTTTTTTTTTTCTTTGTAAATGATCCAGGGTTTAAGCTGACCTACGCTAATTAAACTTTTTCACCCCTAAAACCCTAAGCTAACCAGTCATCCTATGAAAGAAATCAAACGCATGATTTGGAATGTTTTGCTTCAGCAAAACTGAGAGGCAGAAAATCCATTTTGAGTTGATGAGCTTTCTTTAACGGGCATTTGATCCTCTTGTGCTCAAGTTGTGTGTTATCTTGATGCGCAGTGCATGAGATTTTAGCCCACTTTCATCTATTTATGTTTTAGACAGTACTTCATTGAAAATTAGCGATTTTATTTTTTAATCTTATACGGACAGCATTTTCTGCAAAACTGCTTCAAGATTTTTAGACGACTTTTGTAAAGGTTGATATATCCTGCTTTTGCTTCGAATCACAGAAGTGAGCACTTTGCAAAATACCTATTCATCACACCTCCAGTAACTACTGTTACAATCCCATGATACCTATTTAGGAGAATATATAGCAAATATTTCCTGGTAGCCACACTTCTGTTTCAAGAAGAAACTGTTCAGTATGATGGTGCTTAAAGAGCTTATAAGATTGCACGATTTATAGGTGATCAACTATGCAATTTAGTAATTACTGTAGCTGTAGATTTGTTTTTTTTTCTGTATTTTATATTATTGTGTTCACCAGCAGATTAGGATTTGACACTTAACTGAACCACTGTGCAGCAAAATGTAACTAATTCAGGAGTTTCTCTATGTACAGAAAAAATAAATGTTATACCATCTGTTCTAAACCGTGACAGTTTTTACACCTCCAAATAAGCCGAGGTGCAACGATCCTTGTCTTTATCCACTTTAGTTTAAGGGTGATCTAGAGTAGGTGCTCGTACGTCAGGCGAGTACTACTGTGCACTAATGTGTATATCCTCTAGTGATCCAGGATTTCCCAGCAGTCATATAGACTTGTGTATCGAACTGTTTGGACACAATTTGTATCCTTAATTTGTCTCTAATCGGCGTTTTGGCCATTTTTTCATGTTAAGATTTTCATGTAAGATTCTACAGTAGTGGATGCTACTAAAATGCATCCTGGATACTTGCTAACAAATGATTTGAATGCAAGGCTTTGAAAGATTTGCTCACATCTTAAAGCTTTAGCTAGGGAGTTGGTATGGCCAAAGAACGTAAATTACTGTGATTTTTAGTTTTATTTTTCCCTTTGACTTTGTTTTGCCTTTTTGACTCGTGTTCAGTATGCTTTGACAATCATGTTGGGAAACTCAATGTACATTTATGATGAAATTAAAACTCATGTTTACGTGGATGTGGATTTTTAACTAATTTTCTCAACTATAGATTCTGGTGCCCTTTTATTAGTCTGAATATTTCTGCAGTAAATTATATTACACTGTTGCATTACAGTTAAAATCTCTTGACAATACACTTTAGTTAAACACCGTAAACGATCCGGAAATCATTGCTTCGTGAAGCAGGCTTGTGCTTTTTTTTTTCAGTTCTTAAGTATGAATGAATACGCAGCATTTATATAAGCTTTCGCTACTAAATTTTTTAAATGGCTACACCAGCAGTACTGCATTTTCATAGATTAGATACCGCACAATTATCGAGTGAATTTTAAAAACAAAATTTTGATTTTATTTTAGGAAGTGGCATGCGTTCTATATTTCAGCGTTTCACCATTTTCTAAAAATGAGGCTTAAAACCTCTGTGGGAAATAAGTTAGGTTTCTCAGTTTATACATGACTTTGCATTTTATTGCAAACTTCTGTTTGGTGCGACGACAGCAATACACCTTTTCGTGAAACAAGGATGGAATTGTTGCTGTCACCAGTTAGCATTGAATTTTTTGTTCAATTTGTTTTTGACCTGCTGTCTAGTGATGAGAACCAGTCTAAAATAACCCAGCAATTGTGCTGTAACTTTTCATTTATGGTGTTGTCACACTTACCAGCACCATAAACTGGCAACAAAATCAAAGTCATGACAACATATGAAAACAGCATTGAATGAAATTGGTAACACAAAATACCGCTAAACTTCTAAACCTGTTTTAAATCATGCTATGTGGCCGTGTGTTTAAAAACTAACTTCCCATATTCTATGTAAAATATTGTTGATTAACCAAAAGTATCTTTCCATCATACTTCATATTTCAGTTTATATTTTAAACATAGCCCTTGTTCGGCTGAACATTCTCTATATATCACCACAGCAAATTTGCAGAACTTTATCTTTATCAAAAGATTCAAGACCTGCAGGCTAAATAGTTGTTTTGAATGTTTTTTTTTAAAAAACAAATTATTAAAATTATCATAGCATGCAAACATTTACATTTTTTAACTGGATTTTTTTTTTTAAAAAAAGTAAATTTCTGTAAGTTTAGCTACCACATAGAGCTCTCCAATATAAGCGTTCCGAGACTCTGCCCCACATGAAGGCCGCTATATAAATGCAAGTTGTTGTTGCTTAGTCCGCCATTCTCCTTTACGATTGAACTTAGTATAAATTTACTCTACACAGCACTTCTTCCACCCAGAGCTTTAGGTGACATCCTAAATCACAATCGCATAAGTCAAGTATAGTACTCCGTGAACCTCTAAAGCTTAATATGAAATATTTGCTCTTAGTATAAGATTTTATTTGTTGTAGAGTGTGCTGTTCAGGCACTTAATGAATTTGCTTATTGTGAGAGAATGCAAGTGGTGTAGATCGGTATAGTTACTGCATTGCTATTTGTTCTGGTGGTTAGAAGATTGGTTTTATTTACAAGAAAGAATGTGTTGGATTCAGTGACTAATCTGAACTTTAATGAATTGTGCAACTGCATCAGGAAGAAGAGCACAGCTATAAGAGTAATTATAGTAACTGATACTGTTATTCTATAAACACCTTGTGTCAGGCACTACCAAATACATATCAGTGCAGTGTCTGTCAACAGATTAATGGGGAAATAGCATGCATCTTCTTGTGCTGTTGTTTCAATTTTATTTTGTTTGCCAGGTCTGTAATATCATTGTAATGAATAATAAATGTGCAAAATTGAGAGAAATGGAGTAATCCATCATTTTAGTATATCCAGCTCTATTGTTGTTTACTTTTGCCTTAGTCTTTAGTCTTGGCGAATTTGACAGCTGCAGCGTTGTGTGCAACACAAACAAATTATTCAACAAAATGCTGAAGAAACATTTCAGGAACTTACGATAGCTTAAAGAATTTCAGGAATAGATGGAATTATCAGTCACAAAAATAGCCCTGTCTGTTAATACAGCTGGTTTGCATTTAGCATGCAGAGTAAAATGGTTAGTAATGAAGAATATATGATCCTATTGTTATTGATAAGACGTCTTGTGACAGCAAACTGGAACCCCACAGGAAAGTTGCTGCAGTTGCTACAAACTGCTGTAAAATGGATATCTGCCAAAGTGAACGTTATAGGTGTAATAATAAAAAAAACTTTGTACAACACACCAAGAGGCCTTGTCTACTTGTAAGTGTTTAGTTTAAAAAGTATGTCAAATTATCTAAAATGCTATAACTGGTGCTGGTTTTCAAATGCTTGTTGTTCTGAATTCTTATTCACAGTATATATCTGTGCAATATACTTATCCTGTTTTTCTAAAATGCCAAAGTAAAAATCCACTACTGTACTTGTTTCTATTTTAATATTTACCCGCTTGAATTTGGTTTTAAGAATCAAAAAAATGGCTTTTCATAATTGCCTTTGGAAGTGAGAAATTGGGTAACATTGTCATGGTTTAGTACGAGAACTGTTTTAAAAAATGTATATTCACAATATTTGCCTTTTTGTTAATTGAAGTACAAAATACTAATCTCTTCATGTAATGTTTGAAAATCATAAGAGTATTTAGCTAAAACGTTTTGCTGGATTAAAGTTTTGTATGCTGAATTACGTGTGTCTTTTGTTCCAGACTAGTTGGTGTTCAGTGTTTTTCTCCAAAACAGTTTTTTTCTATTAACAACGCATTATCTGGGTTTGTTTCTTATTTTAATAGTTGTGAATGAATTCAACCGTTAAAGTTGTCCACAAAAGATAAATCTTAGAACTGGAGTCTTGTAGCTCAGTGGTTCGAGCACTCGCCTCGCAAGCGAGAGACCTGGATTCGATTCCCAGCAGGGCGAAACGTTGGTGAAAGTTTCCTCACTCCACACGCCTGTTTACCTAGCAGTAAGCAGGAAACCCGGTTGTTAATCAATTGGCGGATCGCTTTTCTGGGGGTAATAATTCCTTTTTTAAAAAAATTGGCCACTTCAATTCAGGAATATTTGCGGGACGCTGCTGTGTGCAATTGGCTGCCATGTTTTGCCCACAAAATATAGTCAATTCACCTTACAGTATATTCTGCGAAGCGCTTTGAGACCTCTCGAGGACGTGATAAGGTGCTATATCAAATTCAAGTTTTATTATTGTTAGAACCACTTGTGCCTTGTACCTGCTGCCATCCTGGGAATGATTATCAGTCCTCAGATACGTGGGCAGTTTTTTTTAAAAAAGAGGGGTGGGTAGAAATTACTATCTTAATGTTTATCAATTCTTTTAACACTGCAAAACTTTATCTGATTTGTTGTTATTTTGCTGTTTATTGGGGAATGGTGCTGATGTTTTATTGGAAGATGGTAACTGGTAGTTTTTGGCAGGAGTTCTCTAGCTGTGGCCTATGGTCACTCCTCACCCTCCGCCACTTGTTTCTATGAACCTGTAACAATTCCGGACTTGGGATCATTGGGGATTGCTGCAGCCTGCATCATGTCAGATTCAAAGTCAACTTATTCATTTTTATAGAGGTTATGTGCCACGGTTTCCTCTTAACGTTTTGCTGATCACTCACCTTGCTAAAGCTTAAGAGGTTTGTCTCATTGTAGTTGAAGTCTTTGGGCAAATTCACTGCTTCAAATTGGGAGCTGTTTCCCAATAGTGAACCCCCCCCCCCCCCCCCCCCCCCCCCCCCCCCCCCCCCCCCCCCCCCCCCCCCCCCCCCCCCCCCCCCCCGTTGTAATTGCCTTGTAGGTTTTAACCACCATTTAACCAACATTATTAAGTATTCATTACTTTTCTTGAATGGAAACCATTTCCACCTTCATAAATTAACTACAAATATCAGTTCAGTAAGGAGCGGGTCCTGTGATCAACTGGATATTTACCTCCAACCTCTACCCTCCCTGCCATCCATCCCTTCCTCCCGATCCCAAACCCCAGCTCAGGTCGATATCCTTGACTGTACAGGGCGTTGGGACGTCCTCCCAACGTGAAAGACCCTGTACAAATATTATTGTTATTCTTCTCGTTGAACATGTTGGAAGAAGCAGTGCTGGTTGATCTCAAACATGCATCAGATAGAGGTCAGATTTATATTAGATGCCGCTGAATGTCAGCCATAAGCCCTTTAATGTGTTCTGCTTCACAACGCTCATCCAGAGAACTTAGGAGGGGGCGATGTGGGGGGAAGGAAAGAGAAAAAGGGCATAGGAAAATAAATTCCAGCTTTTGGTTTGAAGTCTAGAAGAACGTGCACAAAGTTCCATTTACAATGTTGAGTAAAATGCCTTAAACAAGCAGATCCGTGGTGTCCTGTAGCTCAGTGGTTAGAGCACTTGCCTCGCAAACAAGAGGACGAAATGTTGGGCAAGTTTCCTTACTCCACACGCCTCTGTTTACCTAGCAGTAAGTAGGAACCAGTTTGTTAGTCGATTGGTGGATCGCTTTTCCGGGGGTAATAATTCCTTCAAAAAAAATTGTTCACTTCAATCCACGACTGTTTGTGGGACACTGCTGTGCGCAATTGGCTGCTGCGATTCGCCCTCAAAATATACAGTCAATTCACTTTACAGTATATTCTATGAAGCTCTTTGAGACGTCTCGAAGACGTAATAAGGTGTTATACCAAATGCAAGGATTGCTATCTGCAGCACAGCTTGATGAGCGGAGAGGTCCCATTAGCTTTGTGTTAATGGTTTGGAAATCGAGCAAGTGCAGCTTTAGCTAAAACTTCAAGAGAATAACGGGCAAAAAAATGGAGCTGTTACTTTGAGCACGGCCACTTGTGGATGAACACACAATGTTCAGCTAAAAGCAATCCTACAAACCTTTTTAATGCCTTTCACTTCATGGAGACCAGCACTGCAACAAGGAGCGGCAGCAACATGCCAAGTAATGAGGGGAATGATCACTGCTGAGACCCTTAGCTTCTCACACGATTCTCCAGTATAGCTCAACATGCATTGCACACCACCCTCTCATTCAGCATTTCGCTTTCTCCACGTATGCTGCACATCTCTAGCAAACAAGAGTCCAATGTCTTATAGTGTTTTCCAACACCCTGTTACATTTGATGCATCATTTTGTTCACCGGTAGGGGTCAGTGTTGCCATTCGATGCTGAAGGGAGGAGATTCCCAATGGAGTTGTTTTGAGTATTATCACATCACCCTGAGACTTTCACTTTGGAATATGGTAAAAATTGGTGAGAATTTTGAGAGTTACCCGGTTTGGTGTTGAGGGTTTTGGAGCGCTTGATTTAAAGTCATGGTCAATGCAGTTCCCTCCAGGTTTTATCATATGGAAATATAGCAAATAAAGTTAAACATTATAGAACCATAGATATTTACAGTTGGTTACCATGTGGCTCATCACATAAGTTATAAGTTTGTCTTATTAACACGTGGGTTAATATCCAAAGTTAGAGCTGTTTGGACGTTTAAGTTAGTCAGGAAACTATACCTTGTCTGTTGTAAAACAAGTGACGTTTCATATAAAAAAAGACCATTTTATGCTCAGATTTGAGGGAATTGCACTTTTGACCACAGATTATTGATTTGCAAGATTAATTAAATGTCCTTTCACAAAATATATTTGAGCTCAAACATGGTGGTATGAAACAGAGAAATAATTCAAAAAGTTGACCAAAGGCAGTTTTTGGAGGCAAGAGAAGCAGCGAGCCAAAATAAGTGTTGGGAGTTCCAGAGGGGACATGCAGACTGGATAAAATCGTACCAATGGGAAAAGCTTATTGGGCCAAGAGTCAGAAGAGAATAGTCTTAAAAGGTTGGAGAAGATTGCAGAGCTAGCAATTGGGGCAGGGGGGGAAGAAGCAGGCTGGAAGGATTTAAGACCAGGATCTTAAAAGTATCTTTGAAAGTATTGGGGAAACAGATGTATGGAATCAACAAGGAGGTTGAAATGAAATGAGTGGAGCTAAGGGATCAATTCACTTTAAAGTCAATTCACTTTACAGTGTGTTCTGTGAAGCGCTTTGGGACGTCCTCCCGACGTGAAAAGCGCTATATCAAATGCAAGTATTATTATTATTATCCTGACAAGAGTCTCTTTAAGGTAACTAAAGGATGGATATGAGTGAAGTGGATAAGATAGATAAGAGTAGGGACAAAGCTCATGTTCCAGCAGATACCAGACACCACCCGTTTCAACCTGAATGACGAGTCAGTAACTATACTTAACAATTATACCTGAAAGACCATCACTGTCCTTGCTTTTATAACCTCCAGCCTTGACTTTGCTAACTCCCGCTCGCCTGACTTACCAACTTTTCCCTTCAAAAACTACCGATTCTTCAGAACTCTGCAGCTCGTATTTTTGTGTGGTCCAGAATGACGCCAGATTTTGAGCTGTCTTGACACAGGAGGGTTCGATATCAGAAAGTGTGTTGCACCAGGGAGACTTATGCAATGTTAAGGAGGTGAAGGATTTTTTTTAGTAGCTTAATAGATGTGATGAGATCATATTGAGCAGAGGACCAGCGTGGGGAAGCCGAGGGTAGATGGTCTTTGGGTCCCACCTGTCCCTGAAATACATGAATTAAAGCAAGGTTAGAAAAATCTAATGTGTAGCAGACTATGAAATATTTTTTTAAAACCCTCCAGTTCTTTGCAAAATATATTTCCTCTAGATATTAGTCTATTGTAAAACACTTAATCTGCAAAGTGTAAAATTCAGTTCTCGAAGGGTTTAACTATGGATGTGTTTTGAAAGTACAGCAAAAAAAAGTCATTCACATCACTGTTGCCAGTAAATATATTGTGGCTGACATATACACAAGGTGTGATGATTTGCAAGTTGAGGCTTGTTAGTGTCTAATGCTCAAAAACATATATCTCTGAGGCTTTGTAATACACATGGGCATGTGATTCAGAAACCCCAGTGCCATACTGGAAGAACAAACAACAATGGTGTGTTTTCCCCACCAGGCAGATTTTGAATCTTTATCCAGTTAATTCTTGAATGATTTTTTTGAATTCAGAAACTTTGCTGAGTTGGCGCATCATAGGCCGGACGTGAGAGCTATAAGAGTCGGAGGGTGAAAGCTGACAATCCATTCTGCTGCCGCCAGTGTCAGCTTCTGTTTGTGCTTACTGTGAATTGGGTAAGTTGCATATCCTAAAATAGCAGAGGAGCTCATGGTTTTATCCTGGTGAAGAATGAAATGATGTTGTACTACATTTTGTATAGGTGCAATAGTTTATATCAATGCTGTAAACATGGTGTACATCTTTAGTATAAGGTTAGATGGAACACCCATGTGAGAACTCTGGGAGACAGATGCTTGTATCTGCTTTTAGATGGTATGAATGTACTGTCTTGTAGGATGCAATTTTTGTTCTGATGGTCAGCCTGGTGTCTGACACATGGGGAAACGCATCACCGTGCTAAAGAATATCCAAGCCAAGCTGAGAATTCCATGCAGCCCACCGCCACATGGAAATCCCAGTGATAGATTGTTGGAATGGATGTACACTCTCTCTCTGGAGGGACACATCCTGCTTACCTAGTCCCAGAAAGTATTAGACACAGGTTGGCAAGTGCCGAGGATTGGGGACCCCAGTGTGTGCGTTGGGGTAATTGCTGGAGTCTAACCAGCTTGCCATTGATATTGCTGGCACGTTTTCCTGCCGATTGTCCAGCTAGGACCACCAACCTGTTAAGGTTTTGGCTTGCAGGGTTAACAGGAGCTGAATGGGATGACTCCCTGTCTCCAGTGACTGGTCTGTCCTTCCAGGTCCTGCTGATGAGCCAGGGTGGGCTGTTCTGTCGGATGCATCATACAGTATCACAACCTGCTAATTGGTAACATGTACAAGAGCACTTATCTGTAGGAGTGCAATCAATGCAACTGTGACTACACTGATCAGCAAATAGAAAGGGAAATGTTTAAACTGGAATCGAGTAGCTCATACTCTGGGATTCCATGGATGAATCAAAATATTAAGAAATGTAAAGAAGCATTTAGTGCTTACGGGGCAAGATACAAGGAAACCCACTGTTAAGTGCTCTGAGACGCTATCATGCGTGGAGGGCGCTATATAAGTGCAAGTTGTTGTGTGTATCTCTCTCTGGGTGTATGGGTGTCTAAGTGCAGGGATGGGGTCGAGGGAGCAGGTATGAGGCATATTTTCAAAATTAATTTGCTAACATATATAGCCTACAAATACAGTTACAACACATAACATTGCATCTCGTAAATCTCACTATCGAATATCTTGACGATGTGATAAGGCATCATATCAAATGCAAGGACTATTATTATATTAGTGAGAGGAACTGGCACGGCATGGTACTGTAGGGACCATATAACTCCCGACAGAACAACTTTTCAGTTATCTCTGTAGGCAATTTGCATTTTGCAAGATGTCCAATTCTCCCCATTGTTTGCTTATCCACAAAGGATCCCAATTAGTGCAGATACTACTCTCTACTGCGCAATGTAGCACTCCCACCTCTGAGTCTGAAGATTGTGGGCTCGAGCCCCACATCACGTAGTCTTCGGCTAAAACTCCAGTGCAGTGATGGGATGTGTGGCAGCATCAGAGGTACTGTCCTTTAAGATGAGACGTTAAGCCAAGGTGCTGGATCCATTCACATCTTCAAGACTGAGGTGAATAGATATTTATTAAGTCAAGTTATCAAGGGATTCGGTAATTGCACTTGAGGTACAGATCAGCCATGATCTTATAGAATGGCAAAACAGGCTTGATGGGCTGAATGGCCTACTCCTGTTCCTTTGATCCTATATGTCCTGTCAGCCTCTTCAGGTGGATGTTAAACTTCCCAAATCACTACTCGAAAAGAGAAACGAGTTTCTCCCAGTATCTGGGGCAACAATCCCCCAAATAAAATTAGCCATTCCTTTATTGGCTGTTGACAAAATTGGCGGTGCGTGGGACATTGCTGTGCACAACTGTGCTGCCACCTTTGCCTACAAATACAGTCACGCTACTTCGCAGTAAATCTTGCGAAGGGTTTGAGATAACAACCTGATTTGAAACGTGCTATACCAAACGTATGCAAGGATACTCGGATTCAAACACTCGCATGTTAGATACCGTGATTCAAACACTCTGATATCAGGTACTTGGACTCAAACGCTAAAAATAAATACCAACATAAAATGTTATTGCTAATATAAATGTCTTCTGAATGAAAACATTTTCCTCTCTCTTGTCCTCTTTCTGGCCTGACTAACTATTATTACTCCCTTGCTCCCCTCCTCAAGAAATATTTGTCTCGACCCTTTACCTCGCAGTCAGTAGGAACACGGTTATTAGTTAATTGGCAGATCACTTTTCTGGGGGTAATAATTCCTTTTTTTAAAAAAAATAATAAATTGGTCACTTCGATCCACGACTGTTTGTGTGGACGCTGCTGTGCGCAACTGGATGACGTGTTTCGCCACAAAATATACAGTCAATTCACTTTACAGTATAATCTGTGAAGCGCTTTGAGACGTCTCGAAGACGTGATAAGGCCCTATATCAAATTCAAGGATTATTATTATTATATCAAACGCAAGCATTATTCATATAATAATAATTTAACAAGAAGAATACTTGCCTTCAGTTTTTGTTATTCAGAATATCCGATTCTTTCTCGGTGATAAATAAATTTCTTTGCTTTGCTTTGTTGAGCTGTAAGTTTAGTATGGGTACAACTGCCAGTGCCAGCCAGCAACGTGTGCCAACCGCTGCCCAGCCAAACTCTACCATTCACAAACCGTCTGCAGCTGCCAACCAGTCTGAGGATATCAGTACTACTGCGGGCAAAGCAAAATCCATCATCACCAACAACGTATCACCTGTTGTGATCACGTGAGTAACTGCTGATGTCTTCAATTAATAAGGAAAGAATATTCAATTGAGCAATATGTTTGATATCTATCAAACTGGATGTGTTGGGAGCAGACTCCCCAGTGCCAATTCTCCATGGCAACATCTGTGAAACTCATGGTATTGGAACTTTACAGTTTGAGCGTAAAGAGCTGATTTCTGCCGGTTTGGCAAAATAGCCCAATATTCTGTTTGCCTTTTTTATTGCTCCATCAAACTGTTTGACATGGCGAGCAACAAGTTAACCGCACACGTTTGCCTCAACCCATGCAGGGCAGTAGAGGCCAAGGTATTGGAGTCACTTTACAAAAACTCGGTTGCTACAACGGAAATATGGTGGGGGTTGTCTTTGGAAGCATGAGATGACAAACTTGTATCTGTTAGGATAAATATGAAACAAAACTACGACCAATTTGCATATCATAGTATTCATGTTTAGTTAATAAATTATATTAATCTCACATGTTCTGCCTATTATTAGGTACAATTTGAAGGAAGAATTTCAAATTCATGATGATTTTCTTAAGGCCCATTACATTACTGGCAGGATAAATGACAAGTTGCCTGAGCACTTCCTTGTGCAGGTAAGTACAAGAACAAATTGCATTTATACAGCACCCTTCACATAGGGTTATGTCAGAGTGCTTAATTAGTGGCAGAGCTTGACACTGAGCCGAAGAGAGGGGAGGTGACTGTAAGCACAGGCAAAGAAGAAGGTCTTCAGATGCAATCTGAAGATGGGGAAGGATGAACAAGGCAGAGGCATTGAGGCAGAGAGTTCCAGAGTCTCTGATCGTAGCAGCTAAAAGCACAGTCGCCGATGGTGGAGCGGAAGGGTCAAGAGACGTGATAAAGGCCGGAGCCGGTTGAGTGTGGAGACAAGTAGGGAATCGCGGTTCTGCTCGGCTCAAGACAAGTTATAGTCTTGAGGGAATTGATTGGAAGATACGAGGGAGGCTAGTCCCAATTGTTGATTCTTATCAGTACCTGAGGGCTGTGGCCGACACCAACTTTTGCTTGGACACTGTCCTGAAGGCAAAGGAGACTCTGGTTGTGCTTGTCTTCCTTCAAAGAGACCGAGGACCCAGTGCAGGTCAAGCTTGTGGCATATAAGACCTGTGTGCAAACAGTCCTTCTTCATGGATCTGAGCTCCTGGCAGATAGACGTGCCCTCTGAGGACAATAATAATAATAATCCTTGCATTTGATATAGCACTTCTCACGTCTTCTCGACATCTCAAAGCACTTCACAGAATAGACTGTAAAGTGAATTGACCGTATATTTGTGGGCGAAACGCGGCAGCCAATTGCGCACAGCAGTGTCCCACAAACAGTCGTGGATTGAAAATGACCAATTTATTATTGTTTTGGAGGGATTATTATTAGGCTCTGTGTGGAGTAAGGAAATTTGCCCAAGGTTTCGCCCTCTGCCTGGAATTGAACCCAGGTATCTCGCTTGCAAGGCAAGTGCTCTAACCACTGAGGTACAGGACTCCGCAAATAGGACTCTACACCAATAGGTTTATAAGCATTTCTATATAGCTTTCGTTTTACTGGGCCCACAGCCCTAATAATAATCCCTCCAAAACACAAAACAATAATAAATTGGTCATTTTCAATCCACGACTGTTTGTGGGACATTGCTGTGCGCAATTGGCTGCCGCGTTCGCCCACAAATATACAGTCAATTCACTTTACAGTGTGTTCTGTGAAGGGCTTTGGGACGTCTAGAAGACGTGAAAAGCGCTATAACAAATGCAAGGATTATTATTATTATGGTTTTCACTATAAAATATCCACAAAGTACTTTTAGAAGATATTTAAGAGAAACGGGTACACAGTTAATTAGCAAATATATTCAACAGAAATTGGAATAAACAGATAATGGCATAGGGGTGTAGCAGTAGGGATGGAGCTCCATCCTGGAGTCCATTTGCCTCACCCCTTCCCTTGCTTCCTTCAAGGTCTGTCTTTTACGGCATCCTCACTCATCTTCCCATCCCCACCCTCCTTGGCCCCCACCCCTCCTGAATCCATCAGATGCAAATACAGGCTGTCCAGCACCTTGGGACATCCTTGCGACAGGAAAGCCTCTATATAAATATAAGTTGTTGTTGTTTGCTGTTGATTAACTTCGCTCACACTGAAGAGTGCAAATTACTTTAAAAAGGAAAAACAATGTCACAAAAAAAACTAATTGTGACGTTTATCCGGTGAAATGTTTTGCTGTTACTTTTTTTTTAAGCGATGAATTATATCCTTTCAGGGGAAGTACTTCATGGTGAAAGATCTGAATAACACAGCTGATGTCCTCCTTACTCTCAGTAATTGTGGGGCACCAAACTTTCGACAGTCTCAGGGTGATTATCCAGTGTACGGAATGGGACAACCAACTGTGAATGGCTTCTGCCAAGTTTTACACACGCTGAAGGAGGCAGGATACCAGGTAGAAAATATACTCGAAACGTTAGATCTTAAATGGGAAATTCATTAAAATATGGTGACAAGTGTTCTGGCGGTTACAGCTAAAACCATTCCTGGAGCTCTAGGTTCCCGAAGCAAGATCCACCTGTCCTATTGGGGATCAAAAGAGTCAGATAAGACAGACAGGCGATCTGCCTGTCGACTAATAATAATAATAATCCTTGCATTTGATATAGCGCTTTTCACGTCGGGAGGACGTCCCAAAGCGCTTCACAGAACACTGTAAAGTGAATTGACTGTATATTTGTGGCGAACGCGGCAGCCAATTGCGCACAGCAATGTCCCACAAACAGTCATAGTTTGAAAATGACCAATTTATTATAGTTTTGGTTTTTTTTTGGAGGGATTATTATTAGGCTCTGTGTGAAGTAAGGAAACTTGCCCAAGGTTTCGCCCTCTGCCTGGAATTGAACTCAGGTCTCTCACTTGCAAAGCAAGAACCGGGTTCGTAAACAGAGGCGTGCGGAGTAAGGACGTTTGACCAACCTTTCGTCCTGCCCGGGAATCGAACCCAGGTGCTCTCGCTTGCGAGGCGAGTGCTCTAACCACTGAATACAGGACTCCACCGACGAACTATAGATAAGTGACTATATAAACGTAAACGTTATAAGTTATTGTTATTTGCACAAAGAAATGTCTAAAATTATGTTTCTTTTTTTTAAAAAATCTACAAAGGAAATCATTTGCTTCAATGTGCGAGAGGATCCTGTACTTTTTCTTCCTCAAGAGGATGATTTTATTCCTTATACTCCACGTGATCGGAATCATTTGCAGGAAAATCTCTACTATCTGTGTCCAAGAAATCAATAATAATAATAATAATAATAATCCTTGCATTTGATATAGCGCTTTTCACGTCAGGAGGACGTCCCAAAGCGCTTCACAGAACACACTGTAAAGTGAATTGACTGTATATTTGTGGGCGAACGCGGCAGCCAATTGCGCACAACAATGTCCCACAAACAGTCATAGTTTGAAAATGACCAATTTATTATACTTTTTGTTTTTTTTTGGAGGGATTATTATTAGGCGTGTGAAGTAAGGAAACTTGCCCAAGGTTTCGCCCTCTGCCTGGAATTGAACTCAGGTCTCTCGCTTGCAAAGCAAGAACCGGGTTCGTAAACAGAGGCGTGCGGAGTAAGGACGTTTGACCAACCTTTCGTCCTGCCCGGGAATCGAACCCAGGTGCTCTCGCTTGCGAGGCGAGTGCTCTAACCACTGAATACAGGACTCCACCGACGAACTATAGATAAGTGGCTATATAAACGTAAACGTTATAAGTTATTGTTATTTGCGCAAAGAAATATCTAAAATTATGTTTCTTTTTTTTTTAAAAATCTACAAAGGAAATCATTTGCTTCAATGTGCGAGAGGATCCTGTACTTTTTCTTCCTCAAGAGGATGATTTTATTCCTTATACTCCACGTGATCGAAATCATTTGCAGGAAAATCTCTACTATCTGTGTCCAAGAAATCAAGTGGAAAAATTGGAATTAACAATTAAAAGGGAGGTAAATAATTCATATTGTCCGCCTTTATTTACTCAAACGGCTTAATTCTTGCCATTATCTCAAAGTTGATTGCCACTTTTAAGATAAACCTGCTATATTATATTTCTATTTTAAGTATATAACTTGATCATGGCTCTTCTCAACTTCGTTTCATTCATGCTAAGCTCCAAAGTCGCTGTCTTTGATGCTGTTCCTTTTCACGACTTTGAAATCGAACTGATCACATCTGATTTATCTAATTTTCCCAGGAACTTGAGAGCATATGACTTCTTACCTGCCTCAGTCGTCCCTATCTCTAACGTTCTTCTGCCTTTTATTAACTGAGTTTGATTTGATCTAACCACTGCTTCTTAATTTGTCACGTCTTGTCTCCTGGCCTTTCCAACTGTTTTAATGTTGGTGTGCTAGGCTGGCAAAATTGGGAGAAGGTTGGGGGTTCAAGCCCCACGTCAGCACTTGGAATTCATACAGTCTTGACCAGGGTGCTCCAACAGACAGCTCGCGGGCTGCATCCAGCCCAAGACCATTTGCAACATTTCCAACTACCCCTCCCTCCCTCCCTCCCTCTCTGGTGAATGTCCTCTCAGGGCAAAGGCAGGAGCCAGCAGTTGGGGGGGACACAGCTCTGAGAGTGGAAATAATGCCGGACACTATCCCGTGTGAAAGGCGCTATATAAATGCAAATTGCTGTTGTTGTTGTTCGTGTCTGTACCCGAGCTGAGGGAAAGCAAACATGTCTCCTTATCTACTATGTCCTTACCAACCGCCGGCTCCTGCCGCTGCAGATAGCTGAGGTGGACAGAGCAGGGGAATGGGGGAAAGAGAGGGGGGAGAGACAGGGGGGGAGAGAGGAGAGGGGGCAGGGGAGGGAGGAGAGACGGGGGAAAGGGAGAAAGGAGAGAAGGGGATGGGGGGAAGGGAAAGGGGGGAAGACAGAGGGGGAAGTGGAAGAGAGAGATGAGGGAGAGAGAGAAAGAGAAGGAAAAGAGAGAGGGAGAGAAAGGGGAGGGAGAGAGAGGGGGAAGAAGTGGGGGAGGGAGAGGGGAATTTTTTTTAAAGGGATTATTACCTCTGGAAATGCAATCTGCCAATCGAATAATAATCGGGTTTCTACTTACTGCTGGCAAACAGAGGTGTGTGGAGTAAGGAAACTTGCCCAAGGTTTCGCCCTGCCCGGGAATAAAGCGCGGGTCTCTCGCTTGCGAGGCGAGTGCTCTAACCACTGAGCTACAGCACTCCAGAATACATTGGTTGAACGAGAACGAGAACGATCCTATGTACCTGGCAATCTCCAGAGGGTGATGGGTGGGTGGGTGGAGTTTGACATGGGTGGTGGAATTTTGAAGCTGAAGAATGGTGGAACAAGGGAAAACAGCGAGAAGTCCGTTGAGAAGGTCCAGTCAAAAAGTAACACGGGTGCGAATGAGGGTTTGGGTGACATTTGACTGAGATACTGGCCTGGGTGTCGCGAAGGTGGTCCAAAACAAAAAAATCAACCTTACTATGTTGTGTTATATTTAGTTAATGGATTTTGCCATTCTGCAAAACAAAACCTGCTTTGTCTATCAAGATATTGAACAATTTGTTGATGAGCCACACGTGTACAAGATTCAGCATGAAGAAGATGTGCATGTGTCGGAGGAAGTCTATAGACCCCACGCCTTTACACAGACATCCTTCAGGTACTTTACATTTCAGATTGATACCTGGTATTTGGAAGCAATGTGCATTGCTGTTTTAGTATTTCCATTGCGGTTGCTGGAGATATGAATATCTCCTGCGATTAACCTGTCACTTCGCTGTGAGCATCTGTGCTCGATGGTCATTCTGTAACAGACTAAAATATTAAAACAAGTGACACTGGGAGCCATCATCAATCTAGTTCAATCTGTAGCGCTCTCTCCTTTAGATCAGTGATAGAACCGTAGAAATTTACGGTACAGAAGACACCATTTAGCTCCCCCCTCCCCCAATTCTCCCATTTTGATGCAACACTACTCCACACAGCAATAACTAACGCTAACTCTGAGAACCTCGCTCACTCTTAATAGCGCTATTCAACACAAAAGGCTGGCAAGGAGACACATAGCAACAACAACAACAACAAGATTGCATTTATAAAGCGCCTTTCACGTCGGGAGGACGTTAGCAATAACCAACATTAAGCAATCTGATTCTTCAGCTCACTCACTCCCCTCCAATGCTAGTCAAGGTGACAGGTACACAAGGAAGCTTTATAGTGCAAAGCTCAACCTGAGCAGATAAAAGAACTCGAACCTTTCACACCCCATCAGTGGAGTCCTGTCGCAAGTGAGAGGACTCGGGTTTGATTCCTGAGGAAACCTTAGGCAAGTTTCCTTACTCCACACGACATTTACCTAGCAGGAAATAGACACCTAGTTGTCAGTTGACTGGCGGATCAGTAATAATCCCTTTAAAAAATAATTACAATAATAATATTTGGCCACTCAATCCACGACTGTTTGTGGGACTCTGCTGTGCGGAATTGGCTGCCGCATTTGCCCACAAAATATACAGTCAATTCACTTAACAGTATATTCTGTGAAGAGCTTCGAAGTGTCTCAACGACGTGACAAGACGCTAGATCAAATGCAAGGATTATTATTATTATATGTAGAAAATGCAGGGAAATGGAATGAAAGAGCTGCAATAGACTTAAGCAGACTTGATAAGCTGAATGGCTGAACTTTTAAAGAGAAGGAACAACTGCCCCCTTCTGTACAAACATTTTAAGATTTCTATGCGAAAACTAATTCTTGCACTGACGGAAACTTGTGCACCTTCACATGAACAAACTAGAATGGGAAAGTATCCGTAATGGTTAGAAAGGACTGCTGTACGATGTGTTTGGTTTCTTAGATACAAGCGATTAGCCCTACCAATTGATGGCTCTCCAGAAGAAGCAGATTTTGACACCTTCATTAGCACGGTTAGGGTAAGTGTTGAATAATATCAGCAACTTCAAATATACTGATTTGTATTAATTTGATGTCCAGTAAAAGTAGTTCAGATATTATTGACTGTATGTTGAGAAGATGTAGTTTTCTCTCAGGCCCCCTTAACTGAGATGGCAGACAAATGGTTTAAAAAGAAACCCTGCAAGTTTAGGTAATTACTGAAAGAAAATATTTTTAACACACAGAGTGGTTGGAATCTGAATTTTCTGCTGTGAACATTAGTTGAGTTCACAGGGATCAAGAGATATGGGGCAAGGGCGGAATTGAGGTCCAAATCAGCCATGATCTTATAGAATAGTGGAACAGGCTCGAGGGGCTGAATGGCCTACTCCTGTTCCTATGTTCCTATTCTTTTGAAAGTGCTTGAAAAAGATGATAACTTTCAAAAGGGAATCAGATAGGTTCTTAAAACGGATATTTGCAGGGCTGGCTGTGGGGTAAGAGCGAGAGAGTGGGACTAGTTGGTAGCTCCTTCATAAAGCTGGTACAGGCACACTGGGCCGAATGGCCTCCTTCTGTGCAGTAATATTCTATGATTCTATGATTATGAAGTGTCCGTGCATCTCCTTTACGAGCGCTAACCTTATTTCTGAAAATTCAGATGGATTGTAATTCTTTGTTGTTTGTCTTGTTCTCTTTGATATGTTCATCTTGATGTTCTAGGAGAGCCCCAGTCTCACCTTCAGGGACAGTGTTAAACCACCTCCGGCCTTGGTGTTTAACTGTCAAAGTGGAGTTGGACGCACCAATTTAGGAATGACACTTGGTGCACTGATAATGGCTCATAGAACAGCATTTCCTCACTCAGAAAAGTAAGGTATTCAAAATGAATTTACTCTGAATGGAAACATTAATAGAAACATACATCTTAACGAGATGACATTTCATAATGGATTCATAACTATCACAACAACAACAACAAATTGCATTTAAATAGTGCCTTTCACGGGAGGACATCCAGAAGGTGAGGGACAGTCGAGAGGTGGCTTCAAGAGGGGAGTTGAATTTAAGAGGGGTGGGGAGCCAGGGGGATGGGGGTGGGAAAGTGACCGAAGGGACAGTCAAAGTGGAAGGACTTGAGATGCACCTTGAAGGAGGCACATTCACATAGAATCTGTTATGAAACTTCGTACTTGACTTATAATCTGCTTCATCAATTCTCATGAAATTAGGTGTGAGAAGAATAAAGGTCCTTTTCAGATTGTTCAAAACTACATCAATGCTTTTCCAAATGGCAGCAGAATCGTTACGCAGGTATGATATTTTTTGTGGTTTCCTTTGAAATAATGCCAAACATTAATCTTATGTTGGTCCTTTTTATGGGAAGGTAAATGTTCCTGTGAAAAATCTGTTTTCATTTTATTATCAATTTATTCTAAAGTGGCAGTGAACTTTCCAAGCTTTGCAGTATCACTATCACCAACAGTGTAAAGCATTGTCCAAGAGAAAGGTTTTAATTGCAGATTCATAAAGTGATGTAGTGGTGAAACTGGATGAGAGAATTGAGATCCTACGATGCGTATGGTATTAGGAAATTGCCTATTTCCATCAACTTTGTGGGTCTTTGATGCTTTATGATAGGACCTTTTCCAGTATACTTTCCTCTAAGGTTAACACCTCTAGGAACTAGGTTCGAACCATTTCTGACTATTTGGGCAAGTTTGCTGTTTGAAAGGACCATACATGCAATCATTTCAACAGATTTATAAAAGTATAAGATCAAGGAGGTTATGTTGAACCTTTCAAATCGCTGGTTAGGCCTCAGCTGAAATACCGTGTCCAATTCTGGACACCACACTGAATGTCAGGGCCTTGGAGAAGGTACAGAGGAGATTTACAAGAATGATACCAGGGTTGAGGGACTACAATTATGTGGAGAGACTTGAGAGGCTGTGGTTGTTCTCCTTAGAGCAGAGAAGGTTGAGGGGAGATTTAATAGATGTGTTCAAAATTATGAGGGATTTTGATAGAGCAGATAGGGAGAAACTGTTTCCTTTGGCGAGTGTGTCTGTAACCAGAGGGCACAGATTTAAGATAATTGGTAAAAGAACTAGAGGGGAGACAAATTTGTTATTTTTTTTACCCAGAGAGTCTTTACGATCTGGAATACACTGCCGGAAAGGCTGGGGGAAGCAGATTCGATCATAGTTTTCAAAAGGGAATTAGATCGGTACTTAAAAAGGAAACATTTGCAGGGCTATGTGCTAAGAGCCGGTGAGTGGGACGAGTTGGCAGCTCTTTCAAAGGGCTGGCACAGGCACGATGGGCTGAATGGCCTCCTTCTGTGCTGTAAAATTGTATGATTCTATGTCAAGTGGGTGCAGTTTGTGGCTCAGCGCCTCTGATATATACTTACTCTGAAATAAATTGCTCAGTTAAAAATTACAATACTAATAATATTTTTGGTGCATAACATTTAAGATGTTTTGCTTTACAATTTCAGGTTAATAGCATCATCAGCATGTGTTCGCAAATGCATGACTTAAAGGAATCTATTTCCTTTTACAAAAATAAACTTGAAGGCCTCGGAGAGATGCAGAGAAACCAGGTACAAAATCCTGCTTCAGCAACACTTCAGATGACATTTTCATTGTGGGCGCAAACATGATTTGAGGGTGAATTTAGAAACCATTTTTGAATGAATTGAATATTTAAAGCTGCAGAAGGCTTGAATTATGTCATCTAGACATTAATTACTGTACAATATAACTGGACAACTTAAGTAAAAATTGTCACTGCTTACAGGCTGCAGATTGTCATACAAATTACATAGTTTCCACTGAAGCAACAGCCATCGTCTCATCGATTTTGGGATCTAATTTGAAATATTTCCTCAGTAAAGAATCAGAGTGACACAACCGGAGACACAAGTGTTGAAAGTGTGTGATGCTGACCTGTAGGAAATCTCAGACACAATCTATTTCTTCATTATTTAATACAGTCAGAGGCTATTCAGCAATTTTTTTCCATGCCGGTGTTTGCTCCTCTATGAAACCATCCATCCTAATCCCAATTCTTGCTCTTTTACCATCCCCTCTTATGCTCTCCCTCCGTAGCTTGGTTTTAAGGTTTCAGCTGAAGGACGGTGCCTTTGACAATGCAGCAAAAAAGAAATTGTTCACTCAATCCACGACCGTTTGCAGGACACCGCTGTGTGCAATTGGCTGCCGCGTTTCGCCCACAAAATACACAGTCAATTCACTTTACAATATATTCTGTGAAACGTTTGACTCATCTCAACGGCGTGATAAGGCGCTGGATCAAATCAAGGATTGTAATTATTTTCTCAGCGCTGTATTATATAATAATAATAATTATTAAGTATTAAAGTATTATCTTAAACTATCAATATCTGACTTCACTTCTGGTTACTGGCAGAATCACTAATAGGGTCTCAGACACTCCCATTCTGAAGAATCACACTTTAAACTGATAATTAAGTTTGTGAATTGTTCTTTTTGTACAGTATTGTCAACGAATATCTGATTCTAAGGGAAAAAAATGAAACTATGGATTTCTATTGAATCCTGCTTGATTATTCAGGGGTTTCACGTTTGAAAGAATGCACATTTTGACTAAATAATCATTTAGCAGTTATTGTATAATTTATTTTACATTATTTTAGGGACTGCATCCTCGAAAACAATGGATCAAAAATGCCTTTCGGATCCTGGAGCGTTATTTTTACCTTATTGCATTCAATAGCTACCTTTATGAACAGGTCAGTAGGTGTTTTTTTTTAATGTATCTCAATGTGTGTTGAGCCATTGCAATGGGCTTTACATTAGTACAATGTTGAACATCCATATCATCAGTTGTTAAAGAGATTTATAGACTCCATATCAGACAGTGAGTCTCTACGTAGCAAAGCATACTTCAGTTTATATTGAAGATTGTTAAGCACAGTGATGAGTTTCTGTGTGAATCAGAAACCTGGCTGACCAAGTTCACACATCTGGTCATTTCCTCAAATAATTTGGTCAAATTGGGCAAACACAACCCTGTGGCAACTTGGATACTGCTCTGTTTCTAAAGCCTGTTTTGAAGAGGTCAAACCTTTCAACCATAACAAAAACGTACATTTATACAGTGCTGTTCATGCTCATAGACTAGTCTTCAGTCTACCAGACTGGAGTCTGTTTGCCAGTAGTCAAAGGGTTGGCAAACTATCCTGTTTTATCAGTATCTTGCTTATTCCTTACTTTCTCACTTGTCTTACTTTTCATAGGCAGCTTAATGTGACAGTTGCGTTTCTTGTACAAAAGGGCAGTGTACTCTTAAGAATGCACATTGTTAATGAAACTTTATTTAAATCTATTTTCAGTATCCACTGGCTTTCACAGTTATGTTCAGCACTTGGATGAGGCGAAACCCCTTCTTCTACAGACAAGTGTGTGAAATTCCCATCAGTGAGATGAAACTACCCATTAAACTTATCAGCAAACAACTCTGTGTTCTGGTAGGTTTTTATGTCCACCTAATTCAGTAAGTAAGCCTGAGATATTTTCAACACAAATGGTCTGTATACCTACAAACTGCCCACTTACGTGGACCTACATGGGTTCTGTTTAAATACAGTGCAGGGTGTCCTTCACTTTGTGTTTACGTTCTGTTTCTCTGCATAGCTGTTAATCTGGTGCTTGTCTGCACATATGTATTCACAACTCGTGGGGATACCTGCCTCTTGCTGTACTTTTTTTAAAAATTGAGAATGCTTAATTCTCTGAACATAATAATAAGAATGAAGACATAATAACATCGAGATAGTCTGTAAAAAAGACCGCTATTCCATCTTTTCATTGAAATCTGCAGTCTTGTAGTGGAACTCCATTTGATAGCAGCAGTTTAGATTGCCAGTAGATTTCTCTTTGCCAGTAACGAGAGGGTATTTCCACTGGTCAGTGAGCCAGTAACAAGGAAACAAATTTAAGTAATTACTGGAAGACTTAAGGGAGAGGGAAGAAAATATTTTTAACAAACCGAGTGGTTGGACTCGGAATTTTCTGCTGTGAACCACAGTTGAATTCACAGATGTCAAGGGATATGGGGAAAGGGTGGGTTGAGGTACAGATCAGACATGATCTTAGAGAATGACGGGAACAGGCTCGAGGGGCTGAATGGCCTACTCTTGTTCCAATGTTCCTATTCCTATTCTTTTGAAAAGGAATTAAGTGCTTGAAAAGAAAAAGAGAAATGAGTGGAAAAGTGGTATTAGACCAGGTGGCTAATTTGGAGAAAAACACCAGGATTTTCATGATGAACTGAATGGGCTGTTTCTGTGCTACTACAGTTTATGAGTTCTGTAGCTCAGTGGTTAGAGCACTCGCCTCGCAAGCGAGATACCCGGATTCAATTCCCGGCAGGGTGAAACCTTGGGCAAGTTTCCTTACTCCACACGCCTGATAATAATCCCTCAAGAAAAAAAAACAATAATAATTTGGTCACTTCAATCCACGACTGTTTGTGGGACGCTGCTGTGTGCAATTGGCTGCTGCATTTCGCCCACAAATATATTCACTTTACAGTATATTCTGTGAAGCGCTTTGAGACTCTCGAAGACGTGAAAAGCGCTATGTCAAATGCAAGGATTATTATTGTTATAAATTATACCTTTGCTTGCAACCTACAGGTTGCTGATGATTACCTGGATCTTGATGAAATGAGCTCCCAGAGACAGATGAAAGTGTCAAACTTCAGAAAAGTTTCCAAAATGCCAGTGTGTGGAATAGCCCAGCCCAGCACAGAGGTCAGCAGTCAGATTATGACACTCTGGGACGCTACCCTGCATGAGGGGCACTATATAAATGGAAGTTGTTGTTGATCCCAGCACTCAAAGTACTATGGGTCTCACTTGGTTTGCTTTAAGATGGAGACAACTTGAACGCATTGATGCTGGTTGTCTTGCCATGTGCAGTGTGCTGCACAGGTACATATTCTAGATGTTTGTGTATCTGGAATGTGTGCAGATTAATCGAAGGAGCTGTAACAACATAAACAGTGGAGTCCTGTAGCTCAGTGGTTAGAGCACTGCTCGCAACTGAGACCAAGGGATCGATTCCCTGGCAGGGCAAAGCATTGGGCAAGTTTCCTTACTCCACATGCCTCCGTTAATCTAGCAGGAAGTAGGAACCCAGTTGTTAGTCGATTGGCGGATCCCTTTTCCGGGGGCAATAATTCCTTCAAAAAAAAATTGGTCACTTCAGTCCACAACTGTTTGTGGGACGCTGCTGTGCGCAATTGACTGCTGCGTTTCGCCCCACAAAATATACAGTCAATTCACTTCACAGTATGTTCTGTGAAGCACTTTGAGAAGTCTCGAATACGCGATAAAGCGCTGTATCAAATTCAAGGATTATTATTATTATATAATCAACTATCAGGATAAAGTATGATTTGGAAAACTCCAGGATGGTCTGATTACAGGGACTGGCGCAGTTACTGTCCTACCTGACGGATGATAAGAGAAAGTTTACCAGTGTGTTGTGTGTGAACCTGCGAGAGGAAGCTGTGCTGGCAGCAGATGAACAAATGTACTCACTCAGGGATGTTGCCAACCTCCAGCAGGAGACGATCATTCCTGCGGCAACTGTGGAACAGCTGGAGGTAATGCAATTTTATTTCCAGGCACAAAATTCTTTGATCAACGCCAGCACAAACTATCCCTCAGGTAAGTGCTTTCCTCCTTTCCAGGTCCGATGGTAGGAGGTGGATTCCAGACTCCGGCACCAATGGCAAGGCAGCTGGTGCGGACGGTATCAATGATTAGTTCCTAAAAACTGCTCTGAGGAAGGAGATGGAGAATGGTGAGGATGTTACAGGTCCAAGCCAGGAACCCCCAACTCGCCTTAGAGCCACCCTCCTTGTGCTGGTCAACAGGACTCTCTCTGAGGCACGGATCCCATCAGTGTTCCAGGATGCAATTGTGGTGTCTATGCACAAGAATAGTGACCCTAGAGAGACCGATAACTACAGATGGATCTCGCTGATTTCAGTGGCTCTTAAAGTGGTGTTTCTGGTAGACACTGTACATGTATCACACGCATTGGAGGCTTGCTTTTGATCACATTTGATCAAGAAGGAGCAGGCTGGCTTCTCTTTCCATGAGGAACGTGTAGGACAGGTTGTAGCTCTATCCTTTAGGGCTTTAGCTCGCAGGGTTAACAGGTGAATGGGACTGGTCTGCCCCTCCAAGTATTGATCTGTCATCAACAGTGCCCTGGAATACTGCAGACCTGTTTGGCTCAGGAACGGTGTCACCGAGACCACCACAGAGGTACAACTTGACTCTGACATTCCATTGCCAAACACATCATCATGAAGCCAGTTCAGCTCCAAAGCTCCATTTTCCTGCCCTGGCCTTCCAGGAGGATAGTCACTAGCAAGTCATTTGACATCCAACAACGATAGGTTTGAGGCCTTGCAGAGGTATTGAGAATAACATCTGGAACATGGAAAAGAGAATACATGGAATTATGAAAAGTCACAGCCTGGTATGACATGTTTTTTTTTTGTATGAGATTTTAAACCAATGTTTATCTGTTCAGGAGGATGTTAATGAATATTTTTTAATAAAAAAGGGAGTTTGTCCCATTGTCCTGGCCAACATTATTCCAGACAAACTGGTTACTCACTTCATGGTTGTTTGTGGGATATCGTTGCATGGAAATTGCACCCACATTTGCCTAGAAATACATTGGGATTTTTTGTGTGTGATACAGAAAATTGAGAATGCTGCAAAAATGGATATCCTGACCTGTAAGACCACAATTGAGGTGTGGCAAGAGGACAAAAAAGAGATGAAGGTATTCAGCTCATGCCTAACACTCAATGATGTCTATAATCAAATGGCTCTGCGATATTCCCAGCTTTATTACCAGCGCATTCCCGTTACAGACTGTGCAGCTCCCACGGAAGAGGTAAGTTTGACTCTTGCCTGCACATGATATTTAGATGAGCTGATTTTTTTTTTAGTGTGGTTCTAGTTCCTCACCCTGTGCCAATCCCAACTGCCTTTATCCCTTCTCCGGAGTACTTGAAGATCATTTGTGAATGCTAACTGAATAGTTTTTTTTGTTTTAGAGGTAACGGCAAACAAGCTTAATTCCTTTTATTTATAATATAATAATAATAATCCTCACATTTGGTGTAGCGCCTTATCACATCTTCAAGGCATCCCACAGCACTTCACGGTATATACTGTGAAGTGATTTGACCGTATATTTTGTGGGCAAAATGCGGCAGTCAATTAGGCACAGCAGTGTCCCAAGAGCAGAGAGGATTGAGAGGGGAGACCTGACAGAGGTTCTTAATTTATGAGGGGTTTAGAATTTGTAAAGGGAAAATGATTTCCATTGGTCAATGAATCAGAAACTAGACTGTATAAATTTAAAGTCATTCCCAAATGAGCCAAGTTAGAAATTGGGAGGATTTTTTCACAGACAGTCAGCCTCTGTCAAGCCCTCTGGGGCACTACCCTACATATAAATGCAAGTTGTTGCTGTTGGGTTTCGAGGAATCCTATACCTAGAATGGTAGCATAGGTAGAAACCATATTATTGAGCAACAAGAGGAATAGTTAGCGTTCTTCAGTCTTGAGAGGAAACTCCTCAGAAGGGGATCTCATAGAGGTGTATAACATTTTAAATGGGATCGAAAAAGTAAACCCAGATCAATACTTTAGGATGTTTCAAGACAGTAGAACAAGAGGACATCAGTTTAGAGTTGTAAAGGGCAATTTCAGGACAGACACCAGGAAGTTTTTATTCTTTACACAAAGGGTAATCAACAACTGGAACAAGATTGCCAGGAAAGGTGGTTGAGGTCAACTCACAGATGAATGCCAGGAACTGTCAACTAGTCTTGCAGCTACTCTTCTCAGAATGGTCAATAGGACGCTGTATGAGGCCCCTATACTCTCAGTATTTTAAAGTACAATTGTGGTTTCTATCCACAATATGGTACTTTCTAGCGAGCCTGAGAACTGCTGGGGAATCTTGCTGATTTATATGCGGTGAATTCTGCAGTATATATTATTATTATGGTGTTTTGTATTCATAGGACTTTGACTCCTTTCTGAAGCTAGTGAGTTCAACTTTAACCACAGATAGCAATTCAGCTATTGTCCTAAACTGTCATGATGGCAAAGAAAGAACCACGGTTGCCATGGTCATCTGTGTGCTGATAACTTGGCATATAAAGGTAACTTATAATTCTTTTTGCAATTTGTGTCTTGCTTTGCTGTATCTTTTATGGTTTGTTGGCTTTAAATTATAGTTTACAACAACAAGATTACATTTGTATAGCGCCTTTCACGTCGGGAGGACGTCCCAAGGCGCTGGACAGTATACAGCATTTCAGACCCGAGCTGGGGTCAGGGGGGAGAAGGGAGGGGAGGGGAAGGGGGGTGGCCGATGGCATGGTCGAAGAGGAGGGTCTTGAGGCGGGACTTGAAGGAGGTTAAGGAGGGGGTGAGGCAGAGTGATTGGGGGATGGAATTCCAAAGGTTGGGGGTAGAGTGGCTGAAGGCTCTCCCGCCAATGGTGGGGCGGGTGGGTCGGGGGACGTGGAGCAGGCCAGAGCCGGCTGAGCGCAGGGAACGCTCAGAACAAGAACCCTCCACAAGCTTCAACTCATCCAGAATTCCACAAGCTGTATTCTCTCCCGCTCTGTTTGCCCATCGCACCATCCTTGCCAGATCTGAGTGGATCAATAATTGTTGAATGGATGTTTGTTGAAAAATGAAGAAAGCTTAAGGTGACAGCTTCTGGGATCCATTGGCAAGCCTCCGAGTTCACGAGCACAAACTCTTATATTTGGATGTTTGTTGGTTACACTGAGTACTATTCAAAGTGCTAAGCAACTAGTTACTATTCAGTGTAACGAACACAAAATATACAGTCAATTCACTTAACAGCATATTCTGTGAAGTGCTTTGAGACATCTCAAAGACATGATGAGGCACTGCATCAAGTGTTAGGATTATTATTATTATTAATTAGAGCTAGTTTCACCCTTTCCCACTGGTTTGATGAGTCAATTCCTGGCTGTAGTCTGGCACTGTTGTGTTGATCAAGAGAGTGCTTATGCAGGCTATGTGTTACCAAGAACTTGCTACTTCTTGAGGAGCAGTTTATAATTATCTTTCCTGGGAAGACGGTAATTAGATTTCCCTGAATGGAGTTGAGTAATCTTTCTGTGAAGGAGAGTGTGAGACAAATTCTGAGGCAGCACTCAGAGATGTTATCCTACATGAAGGACGCTGTATAAATGCAAGTTGTTTTTCTTCCTTACAAAAGCAAGAACTCATATTTTATAGAGCTCTATCATATATTAATACCTAATTTAAGATTTAATACCAAGATATTTATAAAGTGCTTCGAGACATTCTCCCATGTAAAAAGCAAATTGTTGTATATAGAGTCCTGTAGCTCAGTGGTAAGAGCACTCACCTCACAAGTGAGAGACTTGGATTCGATTCCCGGGAGGACAAAATGTTGGGGATGTCTCCTAACTCCACACGGCTCTGTTTACCCAGCAGTAAGTAGGAACGCGGTTGCTAGTCAATTGGCATATCGCTTTTCCGCGGATAATAATCGTTCAAATAAAAAAACAAGAATAATTTGGTCACTTCAATCCACGACTGTTTGTGGGACGCTGCTTTGCGCAATTGGCTGCGTTTCGCCCACAAATATACAGTCAATTAACTTTACAGGATATTCTGTGAAGCGCTTTGAGATTTTCAAAGACGTGAAAAACGCTACATCAAATGCAAGGATTATTATTAATTATTGTATTTGACTAAACATGGTTTTATCTTTGCAAGACAACCTTGTTATTCATTTCAGAAGAAGGTTTTAAGTTAATATTGTCAGACAACAAAAATTCTGATCATACTCAATGCCTCGTTGATGATCTGCGTATGTGTAGATGATTAAATCTCCAATTGGTGTCTGTAGGGCTTTCCAGAAGCACTGGAGGAGGAGTTGATTAGTGTTCCCGATGCCAAGTACACAAAGGGAGAGTTTGAGGTAAGAAACTGTTGGAAAATGTTGGCAATAAATATGGTGTTTGAAAATCAGTTGTCATGGGGGAAAAAGACTTTAAAATGTCACTATTGTAAATACTTTTGTCAAAGATTTAACACACCCAGTGAGTGGAATAGCATTCAAATTCTGGGCAGATACTGCAACCATTATTAAAATGTTGAAAGGTATAAATCTTGAATAGATGGCACGACATTTATTAAAACGTCACTTCTGTAAGTTGTTCCCTCCACATCAGATCAACCCAGGAAAACAAATACTCAACAAAAAAAAAGCTACAAGCCCTTCTATAGTTTCGCCCGTCAGTGGTGGGGCCAGAGTGAGTTGGGTGCCTGAACAGTTAATTGGTTGCTGAGTGTAGAGAGTAGGGTTACAGTCGGTTACAGAAGTAGGATGGATGGAGTGAGGCATTTGGAAATGAGAGCAAGAATCTCGACTTCAATCCACTGTGGGATGGGAGACAGCTCCTTGGAGCTGAGCCAACAAAGGTAGTGGTGACGGGCTTGTGGAGCCTAATGTGGTTGAGGACGGCTCTTCCACATTATCCATTGCCAAGGTTCTACTGTCATTTTGCTCAGGCCATTCTTCAGCTGGTCCGTATTCTTCCCAATGGGAATGAGATGAAGAAAGAAGTGGACAGAGCCCTAGATGCTGTGAGCGACTCAATGACACCCATGATGCACCATCTCAGAGAGCTCATCATCAATATTTACAGAAAGGTACAATTCAATTCTCTCTCACAAAGCCAGTAATAGTAACTCACAATGTTGATATAGCACCTTACGTCAAAGGCGCTTCATAGGATTTCACTGCAAAGCGTGTTGTGTGTTTGTAAGCAAACGCGGCAGCCAATTTGTGCACAGCAATGTCACACGAACAGCCGTGAAGCTAACGACAATTTTACCTGGGAGATTAATGCCAAGAAGGAAGAACTCCCTATTTTGAATAGTGCCGTGGGTCCTTTAATGCATATGTCGCATTTACAACAAATTGCATTTCTACAGTGACTTTCACATCGGGAAGATGTAATCAGGTGCTGGACAGTCCAAGGGTTGCACCCAAGCTGGGGGTTGGATTTGAGAGGGGTGGAGCCCCAGGGAGGGGGTTGGGAAGATGACCAAAGACACAGTCAAAAAGGAAGGTCTTGAGAAGGACTTTGAAGGGGGGAAGGGAGTCTGGGATGGAGTTCCAGAGAGTGGGGGCGTCTACTGTCAAAAAATTTCAAGGAGCCAAACGTTGAAAGAGTTAGTGTCAGTTTATGAGGTTTTTGGTGCCAGCTGAACAACGCTCAAATATTCCAGACAGGCTGGAAACTTGGGAATGCAGGAAACAACTGCTCAAATGCCAATCACATGCGAGGAGAGTTCTGACTGGCCAGTTAGTGAGATTAACAAGATCCTGTCTACTACCAATGACCTACAAAAACAACGACAAAATTACATTAAAAGAGCGTCTTTCACGCCGGGAGGACATCCCAAAGCCCTGACCTACGTGAGCAGCTACCAAACGCCCGAGATGGAGTTATTCAATCAGCCAGTAACTGGAGTCCGAGCATCAGTTGTTACTTTCAGAAACCGTGCTCACCAGGGCTCACCATGCTGGTGCTGTTTCGGAATCCCTAGATGTTAATGTCCCAAATCCCAGAATCCCTAATCTTACCTCGTCCGGGACTCTTAAGCATGGTGATGAGTTTCCGCACGTGTCAGACGACCCCCCCCCACCCCCACCACCAAAAAACAATTAACAGGCAGACGGGAAGTCGGTTTAATGTCTCATCCGAAGGATGGCACCTCCAGCAGTGCAACAAGCCACCCCCCCCAGCATTGCATTGGAGTGTCACCTCAGTCTGTGAGTTCAAGTCACGATGTGGGATTTGAACTCAACACAACCTTCCGACTCAAGAGGCGAGAGAGCTACCGCTGAGCCAAGCCGTGGAATGCACAGATTTTCTGCCCTATTTCTTTCACTTTGAATTTATCGCACTTTATCTGTCATTGAGGCTGATGAATACTAAAACAAACGTTTGTTAATCTCACCTTTTGAGATTCAGAGATGCTTCCTGGAAACGGCCAGGTGCTGGAGCTCTTTGAGACATCCTCCCGAAGTGAAAGGCGCTCCACAAATGTAATTTTGTGGTGCTGTTGTTGTGATTTCATTGTTGCCTTTGCATGCAAACTGCTCATACTACAATGATCATCTGGCTCACACACATTCCCTTTGGTGGGAATCTCTGAACTTGATCTTGAAAGGATTTCTCTCAAAGTTTCTCACACAAAGCATTACATGAATCAAATTACCGGCCGTGATTTAGATTTAACAATGGAACAGACCTAATGGATTAGCGGAATCAGGGTCATCAAGATAGAAGTGTTGGAAAAATGTTAGAAATGCACCACAAACAATTATTGGGGAATAATAATATTACGTTAGTCAACTGGAAATCCAGAGGCTGTGGATTTGTAATAAGAACAAAAAATGTAGGTGCGAGTTGGATGGTTTCTTTATCAATGGAGGGTGGGGGGAGGAAAGTTCTCATTTACCAGAGGTTTGTAATCTATTATGGTCTCGTTTTTTTTGGTCACCTAGGTTCCTGACAAATGCGACAACCTATCACCATGCTTAACAGTATCCAAACCAAACTGAGAATTTCATGCATCCCACCTATGCCCTGGAGAGACACATCCTCCTTATTTAATTCCAGAGAGCATTAGGCACAGTTGGCAAGGGCCAAGCTTTGGGGATCCCAGAATCTGTGTTGGGGTACTGCTGGAATCTAACCAGACAAAAATAAATTGTTTGCCATTCAAAACACTTCCTGGCAAGTTTTCCCACTACATTTCGAGCTAGGACCACCGCTAGGCTTTGGCTTGCGAGGTTAACAGGAGCTGGGTGGGAAGAATCCTTCCTCCCAGTGACTGGTTTGCCCTTCCAAGTCCTTCCAATGAGCCAGGCTACCCGGACTGTCGTCAGCATTGCAGACCCATTTGGCTCAGGAACCAGACAATCAAGACCAACACAGAGGGTTGGCTCACTTCTGACAATCCGTTGCCAAACATGTCACCCGTAGAGCCAGTTCAGCTGTAAGGTGACATATTCCCTCCCCTGCAAGGAGAATAGTAACCAGTTGTTTATGCCACATCTGACAAGGGCGGGTTTGAACCCTCACTAGGTGGATGGCGAGTACTTGGAAGTCTGTGTGAGCTTCTTGGAGGGGAGCATAGCTCATCACGAAGTGCACGAAAACATTGCCACCATCTTTCTGCCCACAACGCAGATACACATCCCTTCCGATTGAGCGATGATTCCACCAGTGGAGCTCGAGCAGCACCTGTTTACCTCTCTGCAAACCAATCAAGATGAAATCAAGGTGCTGGATGTACAAACTCCTTCCAGCAGCTGTCGCCCCAAGACTCAGAGTTTTTCTCATCAGCTATCTGCCGGGCATTTGCCTTTCAGTGTGATAGGCGGACATTTACAGAATAGCTTGTAACACATCAACCATCTTGATGTTGTCGAGGTCCAAGCCCAATGCCGGGTACCAGGCTTACTCGGCACCAGGATTGTGCTGTTGAAAGAAGCCAGGAAAAGCGAACTGCAGAGAAACTGGAATTTCCACATTGGTTAGTCACTTCACAAAACGTTCACAGCAGACTCCAGAATGTCGGGTCAACAGACTACACATGTGAGTGGGAGTCAAATATGTGATCAGTCATAACATCAAGGATATGGCGGAAAACCAAGGGAAGAGTATTTAAGTAGGTTGCACAAGAGGGGGAAGCGAGCTCCAGCACAGGCAAAGTGGATAGGATGGCTTCCCACAGTATCCTGTCAAAGATTCTATGCCAAGTATTGGTCAGATTGTGGATCATTCAGATGACTGCAAATTATCCTAGATCAATTCTTCCTTCTCAAGCAGTCTTGTTTGTCCAACTGATTAAAAACTGTAAGGGTGACTTTTGGGGACACGATGTCTGAGTTGAAATATTGTACTTTTCGTATTCTGGTTTTGATTTTGATTTCGAGACTGCGCTCCATTCGTTGTGAGATTTCGCATCGAAATCTTTCTGCGTCCTTTGGCTGGTTACCCTGTTTGAATAGAACAAAGATGGTTGATTCTGCGACATATATTTGTACATGTAGGCCTTTTTCTAATTTTTATTTTAGTCAAAATCAGCGAAGAACCAAGATGATGGTGCACGCTTACACCTACGCAGTCTGCAGTATCTTGAACGATATTTTTACCTAATTCTCTTCAACGCCTATTTGCACCTGGAGAAGCAAGGAGGATGGCAAAGATCCTTCAAAGTTTGGATCACTGAGGTACGAGACTGAAACTATTTCAGCACTCCGACATGCTGAAGATGTTTGCTACACGCGCAAGTTTTTGTATTTCACTCAGACGCAGAAATAGCACTTTTTTAAAAAAAGAAAGTATTGAACGTTTGAACCCCTATTTCAAGTGGGAGTGTTTTGGGGAACAAAATGTGACATTATGTCATCACAGCACAATTAATGTCATACCTAGCAGGACTTTACAGGTAAGCATCAGAATGAAAGTCCAATGATAGCCATGTTTTACTGTTTCCAAAGCTACTACAGCTACTGGAAGTACCAAGATGATGGATTTTGTTGGTGGTGGTACTTTGGAAAGTTTGATTTGTGAATTGGACAGAAAGCTAATTCCTCTTTATGCATTTGGTCAGAGCAGATAGAGCACTCGCCTCGTAAGCAAGAGACCTGGGTTCGATTCCCGGGCAGGGCAAAATGTTGGGCAAATATTGGGAAGAACAGGACAAAATTGATGATGCAGCTTTACATTTGTCCCCTTTTCTTCTTGGATTCCACTTACAAACAGGACTAGTATTTTGCTGTTATGGCTTCACAGTGTTAGGTCTGGTCCTAATAATAATAATAATCCTTGGGAATCCTGCTGGGAACCGAACCCAGGTCTCTCGCTTGCGAGGAGAGTGCTCTAACCACTGAGCTACAGGACTCCACTAAGTCTAATACTCACAGTGGGGTTTGGGAGCATTATTCAGAGCAACCAAAGGTAATTAGCAAATGAACCTTGCCAGACAAATGATCTTTTCTAGCATTGTACATTCCTTTGTTTGTTTCTGTATTCCCTTTTTAAATACAGGGGATTTAGCTCCAGAGGGGGAGGTTTTATACGCGAATAAAATCAGCCAAATGACCTCCTAGGTTGGAATCCGTGAAACAGATCCGTGTATTCCTGCTCATCACATTATTACACTGCTTTAATTGTCCTTTTCACCATCCAGTTCTTGTTTATTGCAAATACTTAGACCTAAAAGTGATTGGTCTTTTTTGTACGACAACTAGAAATGACAATTTGGTTTCTTGTTTTAAGATGTTCGATATCTGTCTGCTAATAATAATGATAATAATCCTTGCATTTGATATAGCGCTTTTCACATCGGGAGGACGTCCCAAAGCGCTTCACAGAATATACTGTAAAGTGAATTGACTGTATATTTGTGGGCAAACGCGGCAGCCAATTGCGCACAGCAATGTCCCACAAACAGTCATGGATTGAAAATGACCAATTTATTATTGTTTTTGTTTTTTGGAGGGATTATTATTAGGTGTGTGGAGTAAGGAAACTTGCCCAAGATTTCGCCCTCTGCCTGGAATTCAACTCAGGTCTCTCGCTTGCAAAGCGAGTGCTCTAACCACTGAGCTACAGGCTACACAATACCTGGCCATTTTTATTTTGATGCCATGGAATTTTGGTCTTTGCTACAATTTTGTGTAATCTCGCTTTGAAATGACATATACTTGTGCTCCTGCATTTAATTTAAAAGCGTCGTCAACACCCAAACGTTCTCTTTATCTTTGACTTGCACTTCTACTTGCACATAACATTTCTCAAGCAACTTTTCTTTGGCAGTTTGTCTTTGATTTTCATCTGTTTTGTGATTTTCAATTTCCTTTTTTTTTTACATATTTTGCCCAAAGGCTGTCCAACTTTTGAAACCACAGGATTCACACATTTTTCTTTACTGGATCCTCTTAGTCTTTGACTGATATTTCGGATTTCTCATTTTGACTGTTTCTTAACAAATCTTAGTAATGATCCTCCTCGAGGAAGGTAAGCAACTTATAATTATTTTCCTTTTTGGGTGGGTTAAGTTTCAAGGAGGCTTCCATCTGATACACTGCTTATTGCGTCCTATATAGAGACGAATTCACCTGGGTTGAGGTTTATTCTATATTCTTAGCTTTTCAGAATTCCAGATTATGGTAAATAGTTTAATTTGGTCCTAAATATTGAAGTTAGTTTTCTAGAAGTTCTTTTGAAAACCAGCTTCTAAATTAACAACTTGTCAAATTCCATATGCTCCAAATGTTATGAAAATAGAACAAATGTAGACACAGCTGGAATTATTATCCCATTGTACCTTTTAGCTTTGAAGCATCTCAAAGTTCGTAGCAAACTTGGTTACTACAGCTGTAGTTACTAAACCTTAGAGATTGTGTTTCATGGGTCATTGGAGGGAAATTATGCACCCATCTTCAAGGAAGGGGAGATGGTTAATCCAGGTAATTGTAGGAGAGTTAGTCTGACATCTGTGGAGGGAAAAGTAATGGAATCTATAATCAGACTCCATTACCAATATTGTTGATGAGGAAATTATAGTTAGAGAAACTTGTGGCTACAGTCAGGACATATGGAAAGGGAATACAGCCAAATGCATAGTGTCCCTTTGCTTTATCCCTTCCATTGCCTCCTTCCATCTCAAGGTCTTTGTCTCTGACCAGGCCTTCGGTCATCTTCCCACTCGCACCCCTCTGGCCCCCACCCCTTTCGAATCCAACGCCGGCTCGGTTGTAAACTCTCGACTGTCCCAGTGCCTTGTAATTGAGTTGCGAATTTTGAGCTCTTTCTGCCTTGTGATTCAGATGGAGCCGCTGTGCTCAAAAATATGTGGAGTCCCATTTTCACAATTACCTTGGTTCTGTTCTCCTAATTGAACCTGTCCTCCCAAATGTCATAGATACACAGATGGTACAGCCTTAAAACAGGCCTTTCGTTCCAGCTGGCCGGTGCTTATACTCCTATCCTTAGTTAATTTGGCGGCATGCCAGTGTCCCATATTCTAGCTCTGTCCCCATATCTCTCAACTTCATTTCCTCTCCATGTGTCCAGTCTGTTTTGTATGTGCACACGATTACCACTCCAACAGCTGGCTACACATTTCCACACTCCCACTAACTGTGTGAAAACATTCATCCTAATCTCCGTTCACCAAGCCTTTCCCTACAACTGCAATTCCTCATTCCAGGCAACAACCTCCTCTGTTACCAGCTTCAGCGTTTTACATCTTTTCTGCAATGTGGAGCCCAAAACTGCACACAGTATTCCAACTGTGGCCTGACCTTCGTTTTGTACGGACCATTTCAAATCAATTGGCTGTTATTGGTTATTGCTGGCACCCATTAGCTGCTGTGTTTGCCCGTACAATAATAATACTTACATTTGACATAGCATTGAAGGTAAGTGACGTCACATTGTTGAATGCGTTTCACAGGATATTCTCCTGTGTACGATAGTCACTGTAGATCTGTAACGCTTACTTTATTTTGAGTCAGTTTTATATATTGTAGATGAATGGTGCTACATAAATGTAAGTTATTATTATTATTATTTCTATTATTATTGGCTGTTCGGCTACTGTTAATGTCAAAACCAGATTCCCATTCTTTGTACTGTCGTGGTGGTTTATCCGTGATACAATGGCGCTTACCTTCATGTACACAAGATAGTGTGTCAGCCGGGCTCAGTTGGTAGTACTCTCACCTCTGAATTGGAAGGTTTAAAGTTCAAGCTCCACATTGGCACTTCCAGATAGCAGTTTAAACTAACATTGCATTACTGGAGGTGCGTCGTTTGGATGAGACGTTAAACCAAGACCACTCAGGCGTCTGCCTGATGAGGTGGACATAAAAGATCCCATGGCACTATTCCAAAAGGGAAGGAAGTTTCTCCCAGTGTCCTGGCCAACAATCCTCCAGATAAAATTGTTCATTCACGTCTTGGCTGTTTCCGGGATATTGCTGTGAGCAGATTATTTCTTAATCTGGTCAAGAAATACCACAAATTAGACTCTATAAATTCCTAGAAAGACATTTTGACTATTAGCCTGTGATGTTACGGTTACTTTCTTGGCATAGTGCCTCTTTAACCTTTCATTTCCTCATTACATTTTCTACAGGTAGCTGCCCCAGCAGGTGTGTTTGAAATTTTGGACAAGTTGGGATTCTCTGAGTTCGAGGACCCAGAAGATACCCCAATGTGCAGAATGCGCTACAGATGGCAACAGCAACACGGACAGAAAATTCCCTGTTGGGGGAAATTATTTTCATACACTGAATAATAAACTAAAACCTATTTCACATTTTATTTTAACTTTCAAAGATTAGGCATTTAGCCCATTGTTTCCCCATAATTTTTCATTCCAGTACAAAACGTTCTCAACATTGAATTGGAGTTATTTGTAGAGAAAGAAGAATTGGTCATTGATATTTTACAAATGGGGTGAAAAATACATGATAATTATTATGTGTCACATTTTTCACCCCATGACTGAAAATGTATTTCTTTGTTTGGAAATAGATACTGGTGTCTGACCGGTGCTTTTTATTTTAATTTTCACCTCATCTAGAGCAATGTTTCCTATGATGTATTCTATCACCTGAGTCCCATCCCACAGAAACTTCTACGTAGAGGAGAGTGACGATATATAAGGAAAGAGCAACAAATATAATTAGGATGGATAGCTTCATTGGAGGAGCAAAACAACAACAACTTGCATTTATATAGTACCTTTGTGCTTGACTGTGGCGGAGTCTTATCCAAAGTCGGGGAGGTGGGGGGTGGGGGGGGGAGGGGGTAGGTGACCGCCAGCACGATCGAAAGGGAAGGTCTTCAGGCGGGATTTGAGAGTGGGGAGAGAGGAAGAAAGTTTCAGGGCATAGTGGTTGAAGGCATGGACACTGATGGTGGAGTGGAGGGGATGGGTACAGACAGGAGGCCGGAGCCAGGTGAGGGGAGAGTTAGGGTTAGGTAGCGAGGTGCGAGGGCATGAAAGGATTTGAAAACGAGTGAGAGGGTCTTGAAATCGATCCGTTCAGTAATTGGGAGCCAGTGGAGCTTGGCTTTGGAAAGGTGCAGCCGGGAAGTGACTAAGGCATGGACGAGGGTTTCAGCGCAGCTCATTTTGATTTGGGAATCGCGGCTGGAGGAGGCGAAGTAGATTTGTGTGTCAACCGCATACATGTGGAAGTTTACCCCGTGTCTGAGGAGTACATCGCTGAGAGGGAGCACATAGATAAGGAAAAGAAGAGGGCCAAGGATGGAGCCCTGGGATACACCGCAGGTGACCGGGCGTGGGCCAGAGGAGAAACCATTTGCTGAGTTGAAATGCTGGCGGTTGGTTAAGCAGGACCCGAACCATGCAAGTGGGTTCCACTAAGGTGGATGAGGGAGGAGAGGCGGTGGAGGAGGATGGTGTAATCGACTGTGTTGAATGTAGCGGAGAGATCCAGGAGGACGAGGAGGCAGAGGGAGCCCTGGTCACAGAGAGAGAGAGGACGTCACTTGGTACTTTGACGAGCGCTCTCTCTCTGCTGTGATTCCCGCACTTTGGTTCCCCCTCCTGTGTGTTTTTGCTGCGAGTACCTCCATCCACAGGGGGCAACAGAAGCCCTGCATCTCCTTTCCTAAAGATATGTCTAACTGGACCAACAGCTGGCTATTCAAACACATGGAGGCGTTTTGCTGGACCTTGCTGTGCGTGAATGACTGCCACGTTCATCGACAACTTGAATTTATGTAGCGCCCTGCACTTTTACGTGGGGCAGCGTCTCAAAGTGCTTAACAGTGGCTGAGCTGGTGGGGGGTGGGTTGGGGGTGGAGGGCGTTGGGTGGGAGGGAGGAGGTTCACCTACAAAACAGTCACTCCACTTTACAGTGCATCCACTGTGAAGCACTTTGGGCCATCCAGTGTGAAGAATGTTACGTCAAATGAAAGGATGATTATGATTAAAGCTCGGAAATTCACTCTCCTCAAGGCACTGGACTCTGTTGGGAGTGTGATGCGATGTGTTTTCTTCAGAGACGGAGCGTTCTGCTTATTAATTGTTTGCAGCGGTTGTGTTCCACCCAATACTTCCTTGTGAATGTTTTGACGGCACTGCAGGCAATATATTTGCCGTGTCCGCACCCTGTACTGGTGAATCACAATGGAATGTGCTGCAGAATGCAGCAGCAAGAGCCAATGTTATGATCTTACTTATACATTGCAATTGGAAGCATTGGCAGTGATGTTGTCCAGACACAATGGGTCAAATGGATCCCTTCTGCGCTGAAGTCTGTGCTTATTATAATGGACGCATCATTAATTTACTCTTTCTATCTCTTTTTAATTTGGCAACATACCAGCCACACTGTGCGTTAGATCACTCAAATATTCGATCCGCGTATTCTATATCAGGAAGCACATTAACCGGTTAAGTTTTGGATTGTATCTCACGAATGTCACTTAATTGAGGAATTATTTTGCACAATCCATTGCTATCGTTGTTTGATGTTCAAGTACAATCGAATTTACGTTGATATCACGCCTCTTACACTAGAAGGACATCTCAAAGCACTTGTCAAGCTGGGGGTGGGAGCTGAGCGGTATGCAGAGGCAAAAGTCGTTGCTGAACTTTTGGCATTGGTGCAGGACATTAATTTAACCATTAATAAATCCAATACTGCATCGGAGCTTGAGCCAAGACTACTTGAGTTGAAATTCCCAAGGACTTGAGGCTTGAACCCACAACCTTCTGACTCTGAGGCGAGAGTGCTGTCAACTGAGACGGGCTGACATCTAAATAGGCCGCGTTGTCATTTTATCTCAGGTTAGCGAGCCCCCCGTATTTTCTATTGTACAAGAAAGTAGCTGAATGAAGTAGAGTCTGCACGTAGAATACATTGTTCGCTCGAGAGATTATTAGAAAGGAAAATTGCGCTACTGCTGACTCGGGTTGTTGTTAACCAGGGCAGGACCTCTCTGCTTGTGTGCTCAAACATATGCCGGGAACGCAGTTCACCAGGTGACATTGCTAACGATCAAAAAGTACACCCGGATTAAATCCTAAGCTTTGAAACGCCAGCTGCACACGGTTTGCCATTAGGTTACAGTGAATATAAGCACGCGCTGTTTCAAGTGGATTCATTATCAACACTAAACTGACAATAAAAGTGTTGCTGAACTTTTGGCATCGGTGCAGGACATTCATTTAACCATTAATAAATCCGGCCGCCCACCCCTACAGACACTCTTTCTGTCTGATACTGTCTGCAACATGTGAAAGTTGAAGATAAAATCCCTCTTTATGCCTGTAATTTATTTTTATTTGATATTTAAATAAAATAAATGTTATTGTAATTTATTTCATTGACAATTGAATGCGTAAAATTGTCATTCTAATAATTTAATTGATTGAAGGTTAAAAACACCTTTAACCTTTATCCAAATTCACCCACCGGGACAGTCTGTAACAAACACCCCACCGCACCCCCCACCCCCACCCCACCACCAAAAGTAACCTATGAGAAGTGTCAGTCTGCATTTTGCACTCGAGAGGAGCAGAACTTAATACATCACTGGAGCTGCAGAAAAGTGAAAACATGTGTTTTTTTAAAGAAACTTTCACTCTACATACATAGGGGGTGTTGGGGGTTGGGTGGGGGGCGTTGGAAATCCTTCTGACAGTCGTGTGTGTGTGTGTGTGTGTGTGCTGTGCAGCTATCGAGCTACCTTTGCTTGTGATCCTGACTGTTTATGAGGCAGAGGCAAGGCTCTGGCTGTTTGGCAGCTGTGTGTGAACATGTGGTTGTACTCTGAGCCCTTGACGTCAAGCACTGCTGGCTGCTGGGGCTGTGTGTACGAGCAGAGCTGAAGCCACCACACACACAAGCAGCGCAAATGCAAACATCCTGCCATCGCAGCAGCTCTGAACGCACTGCACCGCACTGCACTGCAGCGAGAGCAGGGCTCACCTCCCAAGAGGAAAGGTTTTTACCGACCAGTGGATGATGCGTAAACCTACAGCCCTGTCACTGTGGCTGACTGCTGGGACCTTAGTCAGTTTGGCTGCAGCGCAAGTATGTTTAGCTTTACCGCTCGCTTGCCTTTCGGGCTCTTCTTATTCGATGCAAGAAATGTTTTAAAAAAAAAAGTGTCAAAATGGCAAATTGAACGTTGCTGAGTTATGATGGATTTCAGAGAAGCCTGGGGCTGGGAGGGAGGGAAGGAGAGAGGGAGGGAGAGAAGGAGGGAGAGAGGGATGGAGGTTTTACAAGAGCACCTTTGTGTAAACTGTTTTTTTTTTTCTGTTTTAAATCGTACGTTTTGACTTCAGTGCTCAGTTATACTTTTTTTTTATTCATTCCCAACAGGCTGCAGTTCAAGTCACTGACAGCGGAGGAGGTACGTGGAACATTTCTCCCTACTACTTAGTTGTGTCTGATTTATTCTTGAGACTTCATTTCTGTGACCAGATCTGAGAGTGAAGCGAAGGTAGATTTGCGGGCAGTGTGATTTGCGCTGAGTCAGGCTGTGTCTCACATTGGGGGGCGCAGACGGACACACAGACTGTCAGACGGACACACAGAATGTCAGACAGACACACAACCACAACAACTTGAATTTATATAGTGCCCTCCACGCCGGATGGCGTCTCAGAGCGCTTTACAGTAACGGATGGCGGGACCGAGCCGGGGGAGGGGGGGGCGGGAAGGTGACCAAAGGTACGGATGAAAACAAAGGTCTTCAGCAGAGACCTGAAAATGGGAAGGGAGGGAGCGAGACGAAGGGAGTGAGGAAGGCAGTTCCAGAGCCTCGGGGCTTAGTGGCTGAAGGCACAGCCGCTGAGTGTGGAGGACTCGGGGGACAAGAAGGAGGCCAGATCCGGAGGAACGAAGGCAACGGGTACTGTGCTGAGGAGAGAGGAGGTCAGAGAGGTCGGGGGGTGCAGAGCAGTGCAGGAATTTGAAGACAAGGGTGAGGATCTTGAAGTCGATCCTTTCTGGGATAGGGAGCCAGTGCAGTCTGGCGAGGACTGGGGGGATCGGGGAGCGGAGTTTCGTGCGGGTGAGAATGCGGGCGGCAGAGTTCTGAATGAGTTGGATTTTATGGATGGTAGTGGATGGGAGACCAGCGAGGAGGGCATTTGAATAGTCCAGCCGAGAGGTGACAAAGGCATGGACCAGCGTTTCACACAGAGACTGTCAGATGGACACAGAGACTGTCAGATGGACACACAGACTGTCAGACGGACACACAGACGGTCAGCGTGTTGCAAGGCTCTGGGCCTCAGCCTTGACGGCTCACAGCTGCTAAAGTTGGAAAGTCTTTGAGACGTCTCGAAGACGTGATAAGGCGCTCTATCAAACGCAAGGACTATTATTATTATATCATTATTATTGTACCATCCTCTGACTGACGTGGCATCTGTCTGTTTTGACTGCAGCTTTGCGGAGGTTCTCAGAGCGGCCGGGGGGGGAGTACGCTTTCATCCGGCCGCTCCGGACCGACTCCCGGGGCCACTTCGTGTCTCATCTGGTGTCCGGCTCAGGCGGGAGGAGGAGGCGGGAGAGCAGCGGGGAGCAGGAGCCCCCCTCCAGCACTCTCTACTTCAACATCAGCGCTTTCGGCAGGAACCTGCACCTGAGCGTGCGGCCCAACCAGCGGCTGGTGGCACCGGGAGCCACGCTCGAGTGGCCCCGAGATGGGCAGAGCCAGGAGGAGGCAAGCAGCTACCGGGAGCCCATCCGCAGGGGCTGTGTCTACACCGGGGGCATCACTCATATCCCATCAGCGACTGTCGCCATCAACAACTGCGACGGACTGGTGAGAAATAGCACTTTAACTGAACCCCAAACCTCCCCCGCTCCCCTCACCCACGCACCACCCCACAGTCCTGGGTTACAGAGCTTCAGCCTGGCATAGCAGCGGGTATCCATCCAACTGTGAGTAGGAACAGGAGGCCAGTTAGCCCATTCAGTCAGTTTATTAGAATAGATCATGGCAGATGTGTTCCCCAACCCTCCATCCTCACTCACATCGCCCTCTATCTCCCTTAATTCTTCATTTCTTAGGGTTATACTGTGGTTAGCCTGGTACTAAGCCAAGAAAAGTTGTAAGCGGTGAGGAGGATGGCAGCAGACCGCAAGAGGACGTAGACAGACTGGTGAAATGGGCAGACATGTGGCAGATGAAATTTAATGTGGAGAAATGCAAAGTGATGCATTTTTGGGAGGCAGAATGAGGAGAGGCAATATAAACTAGATGGTTCAATCTGAAAGGATGGTTCAATCTTAAAGGGGATGCAGAGAGACCTGGGGTTCCACAAAAGCAAATCTTTGAAGGCAGGTGGCAGGACAGGTAGATAAAGCTGTTAAGAAAAGCTTACGGGATACTCGGTTTTATAAATAGGGGCATAGAATACAAAAGTAAGGAGGTTATGATATTTGGGACAAATTTGCAGGGCTAATGGGAAAGATTTAGGGAGTGGGATTAATTTGGACGGCTCTTTCAAAGAAACGACATGGACACAATGGGCCGAATGGCCTCCTTCTGCGCTGTATAATTCTATGATTCTATAACTTCTTAACTTGGGGCTCCTGAAACAATACAATACTCCAAATGAGGTTTGATCAGTGGTTGGGCCACAAAAAACTGGTTAGGCCTCAGCTAGAGACGGTGTTCAGTTCTGGGCACCACACTTTAGGAAGGATGTCAAGGCATTGGAGAGGGTGCAAAGGAGATTGACCAGGATGGTACCAGGAATGAGGGACTTCAGGTATGAGGAGAGGCGAGAGAAGCCGGGATTATTCTCCTTGGAGCAGAGAAGGTTAAGGGGAGATTTAATAGAGGTGTTAAAAATTATTAGGGCATTCAATAGGGTGAACAGGGAGAAACTGTTTCCACTGGCGGGTGGGTCAGTAACCAGAGGACACCGATTTAAAATAGTTGCCAAAAGAACCCGAGGGGAGGCGAGGAGAATTTTTTTCACACAGCGATTTGTTCAGATCTGGAATGCATTGCCTGAAAGGGCGGTGGCAGAACATTCGATAACAATTTTTAAGAGAGAAGTAGATAGCTATTTGGGGAGGACAAATTTGCAGGGCTATGGGGAGAGAGCAGGCGAGTGGGATTAATTTGGACGGCTCTTTCAAAGAGCCGGCATGGACACGATGGGCCGAATGGCCTCCTTCTGCGCTCTATAATTCTATAACTTCTTAACATGGGGCTCCCGAAACAACACAATACTCCAAATGAGGTTTGATCAGTGGTTTATGTAACATGAGTAGCATTCCCTCACTTTTATATTCCAAACACTTTATATTAAAAGCCAATCGTGTTACTGTGTTAGCGTAATTGATTGATTTCTGCCCTGAAAAACTAGCTTTTGAACTACTTATGTGCCCTAAACATCTGCTCCTACGTGCTTGCTGTTTTCAATATATTCTCACCTGCAATTTGTTTGCCCAAAGTCACCTTCTGCCAGAGTTCTGCCCACTCACTTTCTCTGCTGATTTCCTTCGGCACTGACCAGATATTCTGATTTAGAGTCAGCAGAAGCAGGGCCAATGGAAAATTGCGGAAATATTTGCCAAAAAATGCAGGGAAACTGGAACTGCACATTGCGGGTTGCTGATCAGTGCTATTGACAGGCACATTTTACTGTTAACCTACATGTTTGTGCCTATATGATTGTTTGGGAGGAGGCCAGAGGTGAGGGAGGAGGCCAGAGGTGAGGCCCCAAGCCTGGCAGAGGAGCGAAAAGCCGAGTGAAGCGGTGGCTGGGAACCTTGTGCTAATGTAAATGTCTCCCCCGTAGTGAACCGGGTGGCTTCCGCGACCAATCTTCCTCTGTGAGTCCGGGTTCCCTCTTCTAAGGTGTAACTTCGATAACGAGAGTCAACACGACGACAGGTTCTACCACTGCTTTATGTAAACAGCAGAAGCGTCCGCCAGACTCCTGTGTCACTAAAGGACTGTGACGTAGGCTCAATCTGCGTATGAAAATCCCCCTCCCTCCTGATTTAAACGGAGAAGCATGATTAAGTAAGCTCAACAGTATTTTATTGGAGCTTCTCACCACCCTATGCTTTACTTATACCTCCCGACAAATCGGATAAAAATGACGCAACGGGAATAATAAAATGCAAAAGGCACAACAATATAAAGGAAAGCAGGTCAATGAACACAAATAATAAGGTGACAAAAGCAAGTTGTTGTGTGCTAAACACAGGAAGAACTGCTGACTACTTTGAGAAGGAATTTCTTATACCTTATCTATATTTTCCTTGTCTTATCACAGTCAAAAGCATGTTATTTAAGCTTATTTTTTTTCCCCTCAAAACACACATTCACTGCAGTTTGCAGTATATCCTGTCGAGCGCTTTGGGGTGTCCTCCCAATGTGAAAGGTGCTAAACCAAATGCAAGGATTATTATCATTATTTATTTTTGACTTAATGCCCTTGTTAAATCAACAGCATTCTACTTTTCAACCCAACAGCTTTGTTTTGATTGGAACAGACTGATAGAAAGGAAAAGCACAGAAGATGGAATTGTTTCAAAAATGCTTCACTGAGAATACAAAATAAATATATACCACAAGGAGAGAGTTGCAGCAGAGAACGGTGGAAAGTAATGTGAGAACAAACTAGGGGAAAGAATAAAACCAATCTTCCCTCTAAGATGACTACAAGTGGAGAGGAAATTAAGAGACTAAGGGATTGCTGAAGAGAGCCAAAATATAAATGGTGATTAAGATAGTAGGGAATGTAGATCACAGCCAGAAAGCTCTTGCCATAGCAAATATACAGTTAAAGAAACAATAGAGCCCCTTTGATTCCCGGAGTGGATATGATACCAAATTTTGTGGTAATTATACAGTGGAACAATGTTAGAAAATGCTGTCTCACAAGCTGAATTTCCTTATAGGGTGTATGTGTATATAGGGTGTTTATAGGGTTCATGTTGCAACAGGGCGTTGCTGAACAGTAACTGAAACTATAAAAAGGAACAGTTAAGAGGGATCATATGAAACTTTATTACGTTGTGTCCCAAACGTGAGGAGCTCCTAACCAAAGAAATGTTTTGATTGGAACAGACTGATAGAAAGGAAAAGTCATTTCCTTTGGTTCATTCTATAGAAATAACAAATATAATAATAATCCTTGCATTTGATATAGCACCTTGCATTTTGGGATGAGATCTCGGAGAGCTTTACAGGATTTCTAGCGACTGTATTTTATAGGCAAATGCGGCAGCCAATTTGCAGACAGCAATGCCTCACAAATGGCTGGAAGGTGAACAACAATATTGTTTGGAAGTTGTATTGTGTGTGATGATGATTTTTCAAAATCTCCCACTTGAACCAATGGCCAAATTAAGTGATATCATTTCTGTGCACCGGTTTCAAAAATCAAACTCGGTATAGTTCTCTTTTTATATATTAGAGTAACCGAGAAACAAAAGCTAGCATTTAATTATTTAGTTCTCAACTATATAGTAGACTTAAGAGGCCAATAAATTCAAGAAATAATAGAAATAGGAATCAATGGGAATTAATAAGAGGCAGGTGAGAAAACCTAACCGGCTTTTTTTTAAAGAGTTAAACTTCAATCAGAATGGAATACTTTGTGCGTTGCAGAAGTTGTGAGATGTTTGCCTCCCAGCTCCAGGTTATAAGAATAATAATTCTTGCATTTGATATAGTGCCTTATCCATGTCTTCTAGACATCTCAAAGCGCTTCATAAACTATACTGTAAAGTGAATTGACTGTACATTTTGTGGGCGAAACGCAGCACCAATTACGCCCAACAGTGTCCTACAAACAGCCGTGGATTGAGTAACCAATTTATTATCATTTTATTTATTTTATTTTTGAAGGGATTGTTAGCCCTGGAAAAACAATCCTCCAAATGACTAACAACCGGGTTCCAACTTACTGCTCGGTAAATAGGAGCATGTGGAGTAAGGAAACTTGCCCAATGTTTTGCTCTGCCCCGGAATCGAACCCAGATTTCTCACTTGTGAGGCGAGTGCTCTAACCACTGAGCTAATGTGAGGCGAGTGCTCTAACCACTGAGCTGAAATGGTCAGTCTTAGTGAGCGACTGGCCAAGCTTCAAAGTATTAGGGAGGATGAAATTTGTATAACTGAGGTATTAGAGGAGGCCGTCGTGAGGTGCAGAGTAGGAGCGGAATCCCCAGTACCGAGAAGAGGTGGGTGGGTCTTAGATATAACTCTGGAAGTTGTGGTCAGATAACGAAGCAGGAGAAGGCGTCCCTGGTGCTCTCAAACAATTTCTCTCCTCTGGAGAGAAACGACATGGAAACCGAAGGGCTGACCGAAAAAGCCAAGGATGTGCCATCCACCGAGACAATCCAGCAGCTTGTCGGAGAAGGAGGGGAAAAGAGAAAGAAAACCAGACACGTTGTGTTGCTTGGGGTTTTGATGATTCAGTTCACAGATAGAATTCTGGGCAAACCAGACCCAGAAAATTGGAATGCTAAATTGCTTCCCGAGTTGAGGATCTGACGTCCCAGGTTGACACAACCTGGAGGGAGCAGGTGAGGAACCCATGTGGGAAGAAATAACATAGATAGAAGTAGACCAGAAGTCCCACATGCTAAAATACAGGTCGTTAGGAAGGAAGCTTAAGGGAAAGACCTCAAGTTGCTAGTGAGGAGAGATAGAGAGCAATAAGGCAGACCAATGCGTGGCTAAGGAATTGGTGTAGGAATCAGGTTTTAAATTCCTCAGACAGTGAGGCGTCTTTTGGAAAAAGGGCACCTACACTGACCAGATAAGCTCCACCTGAACAAAACGGG